CTGTTATCATGGCAAAGATAAAATAAATCAGTTATTAGAAATGAGTTATTAAAGCATTTAGAAATGTGTTAAGAAAAATCTCTCCGTTAAACAGAAATTGGGGTAAAAAATAAACAGGGGGCTAATAATTCTGACTTCAACTGTGTATGTGTAAAATATATTTTCATATTTAAAGTGACCCTTTATCTTCTTAATGTATAATTAAATACAATAAATTTACAAATAAAAGCAAGTTCACCAACTATATACAATTAAATAGCCATTATTTGTGATAAGATTTTAATATAAATAACAAAAAAACATTTGAACAAATTTAACTCACAATCAATCGAATTCAATAATTGCTGTTTGTGAATCGCAGTGGTTACTTTTTACTTGGTGAAATGCTCGTTTCATTGTTTGTCTTATTTCTACTTTTTTGCACTCAACTACAGCTTTACTCTGATTGCTGGCAGGCAAATGTCTTTAAACCACTTACAGCTCGAGCATGTGCAGTACGGAAGGAACGTCCCATTATTCATGGGGGCCCCCAGTTTTGAAAAGAAGTAATCTGTACAGTTATAGACAGATTTTACAACATACGATAGAAAATTTATAAAACAGCTATATGAATTACTGTTGAAGTCAAAATTATTACCCCCCCCTTTGAATTCTTTTTTTTTTTTTATATTTTCCAAATGATGTTTAAACAGATGTTTACTTGTTTAAAAGAGCAAGTAAATTTTAACAGTATGTCTGATAATATTTTTTCTTCTGGAGAAAGTCTTACTTGTTTTATTTCGGCTAGAATAAGAGCAGTTTTAATTTTTTTTAAACACCATTCAAGCAAATATTTATTAGCCCCTTTAAGCTATATATTTTTTCTCGATAGTCTACAGAACAAATCTTTGTTATACAATAACTTGCCTACGTACCCTAACCTGCCTAGTTAACCTAATTAAGCTAGTTAAGCATTTAAATGTCACTTTAAGCTGTACAGAAGTGTCGTAAAAAATATCTAGTTAAATATTATTTACTGTCATCATGGCAAAGATAAAATAAATCCGTTATTAGAAATGAGTTATTGAACTATTGTGTTTAGAAATGTGTTGAAAAAAAAATCTGTAAAACAGAAATTGAGAAAAAAATAAACAGGGGGCTAAGAATTCTGACTTCAACTGTATATAGGCTTCTTGGCATCGGTCCGGGCCCCCTAATTCCCAGGGGCCCTAAGTGGCTGCTTACCTCATTTATTGGTTGCCCCTACCTCAACACTTTTTGATTTTTTCATTCTTTTGATTACTTCATTCTTTTTTTGTAAATCAGTAAAAAGATGCTCTAGTTTCAAACCCGTTTCAAATAAGTTATCCTTCGACTCTTTGATTTTGTTGTTCTATTGACTCTTTACAATAACCCTCATATGAAATAAGAGAATTATCTGTCTTAAATTAAATTATGGTAAGTCATTAATATAGCTGTTACGTTCCATGACTTGACATTTAGCTAAAGCTTTAGAAATATTCCTCAAATCTCTTCTCACCATGACCTGTAAAATAACCCAGTCCAGAAACAGCAGAGTGATGTCCATCAATCACATGTGAGATTCCTCTTCTATTAAAAAACATATAATTAATAACAGTGTTTTTTTTCTTAGTTTGTGTCCTAAACATATTTGTGTTGTTTAATCTTACGTTGTAGGAAGCAGTGTATTAATTCAGAGAAGCTGTTTGACTTCCTGAAGGATGTGGCAGATCAGACCTCTACCTCATCAACATCAGAAACATGCAAAACAAAGGGCAAATGGCAGTCCCACAGGTACAATATCACTCATCAGAATGCACGTTATGTCCTTGAAATATATAAAAGTAAGCTTGTGCCATACAAGCAGTCATTTTAATCTAAATATTTTTCAGTAGGAGAAGATGGCAAAATGTTTCCATCAAAGCCAGGTCACCTGAGCGAGAGGAGACGCCTCAAAAAACTGCCAGTGATCTGGTCATCAACACTGATTCCTCCAGTGTAAGTGACTCAAATTGAAGAAGGAACATAGATTATATTTTATTTTTTTCTGGTTTTAGAAAGTAATAAATTAAATGAATGAGATGTGGGTTTTTTTTTTAGCAAACCTGGTAAATCAGCTCTCAAATACACAATTTTACTGATTCACGTAGATTTATTTGTGAATTGGACTGAAGTGATTGGATCGGTTCTCAAGTTAGCAGCTCAACATTTCATAGAGCAACAAATAATAACTTGACTTCTAGTTGATCTATTGGAAAAGTGGCAGAAGGTAGATTATTTTCAGATAATTCGTCACAAAAAACCCATTGGAATCCACATGGACCCAAGATTCTCATAGAAATCAGTCAAGTTTGGTGAAGGAAAAATCATGGTTTGGGGTCACATTCAGTATGGGAGTGAGCAAGAGATCTGCAGAGAGGATGGAAACATCAACAGCCTGAGGTATCAATACATTTGTTCTCCCCGTTAAATTACACATCTCAGGAGAGGAGAGAACTCTGGGAGTCCTTCAAGAACACTTTCTTTGCCATTCCAGATGAAGTTATTTGAGTCATTGCAGAGATGCATGGATGAAGTCCTTCAAGCTCATGGGAGTCATACAAAATATTAATTCTTTTCCACTGCACCATGACTTCATTTTCTATACTGTACAATATTTCTGTTACGTGCCAAGACGTTTGGCTAAGCAAAGTGAGACCTTACTTCCTAATTAAATGATTAAAAATCAAGGCATGATCGTATTTTATTCTTGGGAAAATAAGCGCAATGTAGAGGCATTTGCCCTTTATATAAGCCACTTCTGATACCCAATGATAAACTTGAAGTCAAGTTATTATTTGTTGTTCCTAAAACTTGGATAAACAATAAGACTTTTGTCAGGTAGTGTATGTAAAAACTTTTAGTTAACTGGTAGACTCAGACTCAGCTTTATTATCTCATTAGGGCAAACTAAAATTGCAACAAGGTACCATAACACAGGCGAAGTTCCATGTACACATTAAAAAACTAAATAAATTTTACCACACAACATCCACACATCACCACATAGAAACATCCCCCTCCCCCCTGGACTCATTTAAAGACCTAATGGCCACCATTATAAAAGAATTTCTGGTTCTATTTGTCCTGCACATAGGAACCCTAAAACGACATCCTGATGGCAACAGCTGAAATACAGAGTACAGAGGGTGATCCGGAGTGCATAGTATACCCTGAGCTCTCCTTAGAACATAATTATGGTAGATTACCATTAGACCAGTCTGATTAAAACCAATGATCTTGCCTGCCACCTTCACCAGGCTGCTCAACCTGTTCTTGCTTGACACACTCAGATTGCCGTACCATGCTACAATGCAAAAAGATAAAATAGATTCGATAAATTGTTTATAAAACAGCGTCATCATAGAGGTACAGACCTGAAATGATCTAAGTTTCCTCAGAAAAAACAATCTTTGTTGGACGTTTTTATATACAGCCTGGGTGTTAGGTTGAAATGTCAACATATTATCAATAACAACCCCTAGATATTTATGCGTATCAACAATTTCAATGTCCAAGCCTTTAATATTAGTTATGTTCGGGGTTGGAGAAGCCATCCTGTAATCTATCACCATATCGTTTGTTTTACTTGCATTTAACTGAAGAGAAAATCTATCACACCAGGAAGTAAACTCCTGCACAGCAGGACCATGCCCCAAATCCTGATCGTAGAGGAGACTCACCTAAAGTAGTCTAAATTTATTGCATTTCAAAAAAAAAAAAAAAAAAAAAAAACCTTTAGCTTTTCACAGTTCAGAAGATAAATGTATTGTTTTTATTATGTTTTTTAGGAGTCTGAGCTGTTCATCTGCTTGGAAACCCATTCCCCTTGACTGGGCATTTGAAAAGGTGAGATTCATACCAATGTTTCTACTCATGTTTATAACTGTACTAGTCCAGTGCTGTGTTATAACCTTTCATTTTATTCTTATTTAAGTTACACAAGATCCGACAATCTCTTTCACTGAAAACTGCAGTATCATTTATGAAGACCCAACATCTTTTTTGGGGGAGGGTGTTATTGTTAACCTGACATTTATATTTAATTTTTAATTTGTGAAATTGCTCTGTTGTGGTGTTATATTTGCCATGAAGTTAACCATATAAATTTGTTTTCTAGTTTTAAATTCCGATAAGGAATCTATTGTTTATAAAATGATCGAGATTCTGCGATAGCGAGCAGCACCACTTATTTTCTTTAAGTTGGATTCATGATTAAAACTGTAGTTTGAACCGCCTACTGTTTATAAGCTGTGACTTATAATATTTATAAAGGTAAATATTTACCATCTTTAAACTCAAGTTTTCATTTTCCACAGTAGGATACCCAGGGGTTCTTAAAGCCAGTTGTATATTTTATAGTGGATATTCTTATCTATAAAGCATATTTTAAGATGTAGATATTACACTATTATATAAATATGCCTTTTCTATTCTTAACTCAACTACTGTGATGAAAAGACAAATGAAATGTAGTTAAAAATGTTACACGAACTGTTACAAGGCGTTGTCTGAATAAATTATCTGAGGATGATGTTTCAAACATACTTTTATTTGAAGGAAATGACGTTCTTTGCCTGGTCACAAAAAGTGTGATGCCAAAAATGTACAAGGAAATAAATAAAACTCATCGGGATCATATTTTCGGGGGCAATATATCCCACATTTTTTTGGGTTACTGAATGACTTGTGGTTCCCTTTTCAAGCATTTAAAACATGTCAGCAGCTAACAGTACAGTACTTGCAGTCATACAGAGCAAATAGAAAAGCAGTGATCTAAAAAATAACCAGTTTTTCATTTTACATGACTTCCTTTTTAATGTAGACACAAAAGAAACATCTTATCGTTTTCTTGAGCAATATAAATGGCTATGAATAAAAATCACATGATCATAATACTATAAGATGCGGTGACAAATGTACATGAGTAAGAATTCCATCAGAAAGAAACGTTAACCGAGTGCTCTGAAATCTCTCTTTATTTTTGCTTCTCCAAACATCCAATCTTTTCATAACTCCGAGACCCTTTCCAAAAGCCAGCCAGTGCATAAAAGGCACCGTTCGACCCTGTGAGCCCTCACAGAACAGGACAGGAGTGCCGTCATGCTAAAACAAGTAGACTATATTACACACATACACCGATATGACTCATGTCCCCTTTTTAACACTCTTTTCAGTCCTGATTTCCAATCATTTAATAACTGTAAACATCAAAATCATCCAAATAATGTGATAAGAGCAATGTGATGTTGCCTGCTGTTTCAGTAGAGTCACATTCAGATCCTCTGTTTTTGTAGGTGGAGCCAAATGAAGAGAAATAAAAACGGTTAAAGAAAGAGCCAAAAAAAAAAAAAATCCAACAAGATATCTCTGAGGCTGCTACATCCTGTGCTCAGCAGAGTCGTGCGCCATAGCCAAATGTCTGTTTAATAGCGTGGCAGTAGTACCTCTGCCATCCATCTCGTGTTCGCTCTTCTTCGCTCTCAGGAACTCCTCGACAATCCACCTTTAGCTCTGTCTCATTACCCTTGTCTGTGAAAGTCAATGTCACCGTTGCGTAGTGCTCTGAAATGAGACAGACAGATGAGGTAAACATCGAGCAGTAAAACACTAATAAATCTAGGACTGGGCGATAGGATGAAAATCTCATATCTCCATACATATATAATCACAATACTGTACCATTTTAGTAAATTCAATCAATTAATAGTTTATCTATATTGACCACATGGAACACATTCTTTCGTTTAACTGCACACATGTTGCAAATCCTCACAATTCAAACACATTTGTAAAAAAAAACGCACTGCATTTTCTCACAATGCTTGCAAGTAGAACGGAACACAACGAAAATGTTTCAAGGGGACCTTAAAACAGAGACGGCTAATTAGTTTATGATTATTTAGGCTAAAAAATCAGGATAATCAGGATTTGTCAAATCCAGACAATCAGGATTTTTCTATAAAAGACAACAAAAAACTACAACTGCACTGAGCACTAGTCATGGCCCAATAAACATTTCAAAGTAGCATCTGTCATGTTTTAGTAGGGGTGTGACATTTTAACATAACGTAATTCGTATGGATCACGACCTATGATTAAGAACACGCATGACCTGCATATTAGTACTTTTTTTTACTGGTAGATTAATCCTAATGTTGTAATTATCACAGATTGATTGGCTCTCACGTCATTCAAATCACATGTATTAAAGCATTTAGCCTTTCCTGTAAAATATGATGACAGAAGTAGTTTTGGGGGGTTTCTTAGGTTATTAAAACTGTTTTCTATCTCTACTTGTTTAGCCTGCATCAATGTATTCAGTGTAAGCTGCATGATTAATCATTAAAAGATCAGGATCTCAACACCCCCGCAACATAAATGATGGTGATTTGCATATGTCTATTAATCCTTCCAATCGCTGCATTCAAATCTGTTTGAAAAACACAAAAATCGAGAAAGACGTTACAAACAGTCAAATAACACAGAATTACTAGGTGAACAGATTGTAATTTAGATAAAACCACTGATGTTTATGGTAAAGATTAAAATCAACGTCATGTGCATTTAACTAGATGCTCAAAAATCAAAGTTGTAGGCTGCTATTGCATTAAATTAATAAAAAAAATAAATTAATTAAATTTGTTTTATTTTTATTCAGCTGCTTAATTCTTCATTTTAATAAAACAGGTTCTGTTTTGTTAAAACCACAAGTGTCTTGCAGTGCTGTTCAAAAAAAATGGTCTGATCTGAGACACAAAAAAATAAATAAATAAATAATATATAAATATAAATATAATAACAAATAAAAAAATATATACAAATCCGAACTGTTAGATTTGTGATCAGTTACAGCCCTAAGTTTTAGGGTCCCCTTGAAACATTTCTGTTGTGTTCCATTCTGTTTGCAAGTGTTGTGAGAAAATGTAGGTTAATGTACGTTTTTTGTGTTTGCATTGTAAGGATTTGCAGCACGTGTGCTGTCAAAGGGTTAAAGATCTTCACTCAATTTGCTGGTGGTGTTTGTAACTGCACATGTTTTCTTAATTTGCAGCACATTTGGCTCTCTTGACCACTGTAGAAAGGACTTTATTTTTTATATTTTAAAGTATATACTCAGAAATGTACTCATTCATATGTGGTCATTTCTCACTTTGAATTTCTAGGCAAATATTTGATAAAAATGCAGAAAAGTAAAACCAATGTTAATAATATATAAAACACTTTTTAAAAGCTGATTACAAGTCCAACATAAAAAAATATTGCTAAATGTAAACATTGTGCTATCAGGATATGCCGAGGAGTTTACACAATATAAACATTGTGTGTTCATAGGGAAGGAAATACTTTACATGTGCAGTAGACAAAAACTTAAACTCAGCAGATTAGATTGCAGTAGGTTAAACTCCACAAAAGGAAGGTTTTAGTTAAAGGCTCCATTCAATCTATATAATTTCATCCCCAAATAAAAAAGAATAAATAATAATATGAATATGAATTTAAATATTAATATGAATCAAATAATAAACTGAACTAATCTTTGAAATAATCCAAATGAAAATGACTTGTTTGTAATAATTTAACAAATTAAAATAATAATAATTATAATAATTTAGCCTTTATTGATTTTTTATTTATTTCTGTTGCACACAAAAGACTTTTTTGACGAATGCTGGAAAAAGTAACTATTGATATCTTCACTGCGTAACCAATTATATTATGGATGTCAATGGCTATAGGTTTCCAGCAACATTCTTCTAAATATCTTTTTTTTTTTTGTTCAGAAGATTAAAAAATTAAGTTGGGACTGCGCAAATGATTGCACACTTTTCATTTTTGCGTGAACGGTCCTAACCCAAAAAAAAAAACTGATGAATACTGAATAGATCTAAACCAATGTATCTGTTGATTTCACAACTTGTTAAATCCATTGAGGCCGGTCAGTCATGTGTAGTGTTTCAGCTTACCACAAGGCCACGTGTTGAACCTCCACTTCATGACTATCTTCTGCTCTGATACCTGTTGAACCACAGCAAAATGTTCTCAGAAATCATTATTCACTTATCACTATCAATACTCTAGCAGTTTATTTACAGGCTAGCATCATGTAGTTACGTTATATTTATATTTGAAACCAAAATCTCACCAGCTCCAGGAATTCTCCGTTCACATTTCCATTCAATAGGCGAAATTTGCCACCTTTTTCCCCTTCAACCATAGCACCGCTGCGTGTGAACGCCTGAACCAGCTAAAATGAACAATTCGAGATTCTTCTTAAACAAATTGTGTTATTAATGATTCTCCTTTCATTCTAAAATCCCACTGATTAGGGGATGTCTAGATGCTGTTTTAAGCAATGCGCCAATCTTAGCAATCTCACCTCCTGATTGAGAAAGACCCGATACAGCTCTTCTGGTGAGGTGAGGAAAGTGTCCCTTATCGAAAACTTGCAGGTTGGGATTTTTACTCCTGTGTTGGAAGGCGGAGGAGCAGTGCTACAGGAGCCAATCTAAAAAAACACACACAAATAAGGAGTTTCAGATGGTTCAGTTTCATTTATATCAAAATGATTAATAAAACCATTTTAGTGCAGCACATTTACTTAAAGGAATTATTTTGTTTAATAGGCTCATTTAACAAGTTTCCTAAGTAAAACACTTGAGTTTTACCATTTCTAAATCCATTCAGTCGATTTCTGGGTCTGACAGGAGCACTTTTAGCTTAACATAATTTACTAAGGGTGCTTTCATACTAGTGTTGCATCGATAGATGATGCAATCGTCCATCGCTGAAGGCCAATAGCCATCACGATGCTGAGCCAGCTTTGTGATGCTCCACAACGCCTAGCCCCGGTTGCAGCAGCAACCCACTCACAAAAAATACACACATGGCCCCGTACACATCACACAGCTGAAAACACACATCACGTAGGTAGGCTACAAATAATTAATTAATTAGTTAAGAATGAACTAATTATTCATAAATCATTCATTCACTGCCGCCTACAACAACGATGCTATCTTCCATCGCGATGTTTCACATTACACATCATACGATGCCAAATTAGTCGACATTACCCAACCCTATTTTACATCTGTAGATTGATTGTTTTGTTCGGAAACAGGGATGAAAATTGTTACAATGTTGCGTTTTGTTCTTGGTGCGGTTCGCTTTGCTTTCACGCAGCAAAGTCTCTAAACGGACCAAAATATCTAAAACAAGACACATGCGAGTAAACTCTTTTCACATTGGTTCCAGTTTATTTTGAGTCCCCCTCAGCTGCCATGCCTCCTTATTTTAATTTAAGGCAATAAGCAATAAGACATTAAAAGTGAAAAGCTGCGCTTTAATTTTGAATGGAGAGAGGGGTAAGATTTTCTCATACACAACTGTTGACTAGAATTATGCATTATAGGCTTTACATTATAGAGAGAAATAACAGATAAACCAAGACTGCTGTTCTGTAAATTTTCTTAATGGATAAAACAGCTCTTGTTAATATTTCAGCATGCCTTTACTTTCGTATTTGACATGAAACGCACATTTATCGGTAAGAATGACATCCCGCACTACTCATAATTCTCTCTTTGTATAGTCATAAATATGCCTATTACATATCCATTGTACACTGTAATATAAGCTGGTTCAGATCATATTGCTTTCTGAGTACAATGGATCCGTTCCAGAGTTTGTTTCAATCGAATTGTTCTGAAACAAGAGTCTAGGTGTGAAAGCACCCTTAATCAGATTAGGCCTCAGAGTTCCTACACAGACATATTAAGTGGCAGACCACCTCGATACCGCTTATTAATAATTATTTACTTTTACCACAACAATACATTGACAACCGCATCTCTGTATGCAAACATGAGTGGAAAACCTTAAATATAAATGAAAGACCATATTCAATATTATTGTAGTATACCTTTTGGTTTATCTGTATTCAAAACGGAACAAAAAAAAACTTTAAAGTAGCCTATTTGCCGACAACCTAAATGCAGAATTCTTTTATCCATTAGGCAAATATTAAGTAAATAGCTTGAACATTTATCTTAAATGACCGTTATATATTTAGATCCCTCCATTTCGCTTATCCATAATTTGTATATATTTTTTACAATTTCAAAATCCACTTTTAGATTTTATCTCAATTTAATGATAACTTATTAAATGTGGTTAATTAGATATAATTACATCCATGATCTGCTGATTAATTACATTTATTAAATACATTTCAAAAATGATAGAGTTCAGATGAATGTCTTTTTTTACTTTAATAAATGTCTGCAATTCCACTGCAAGTGTTTGAATTTTTTGTATTTGAAAAAGTCATTGATGTGACAAATATTCAAATACTTGGGAGTGATGGATATGCACAACAGTTAATTCAAAGTAGCATTGAAAAGGCTCACCTGAGTTTTGCTGGTCTCAGTTATAGCCTGGCCTGTTGGCTGTTTGGTCATGCCGTTGGCTGTGGGTAGGATCATGCCCTGTGTGAACTCTACAACAAACAACAGCATTCAACATCAGAAAAACGCCACAAACCCTTGCATGTGTTCGTTTTTTGGTGTCCCTGTGAGACTTGCCTGTTTTGAGGAAGCCCACATAGCTGGCAAGAGCCGTGCGAATTTTATTGGCTCCCTCCTTCCTCATCAGAGATAGCAGCGCTGTTTCCGGTTCATCTTTACAAAGACTGACACCGATCTAAGAGAGTCAACAAAAATATCATCAGCACTTACATAACAGATATTGCTGGATATATATATACACGGCCATATAATTATTCGTGTTTAGATCATTGGCTACATTTACAAGGATGCTTTTTCTTTAATTAGGAATCAAATTATTCCAACTGATGAATCAGACATGAATGCTAAATAAAGTAATCAGGTCCTTCTGTTTAATTTTTGTTCAAAAAGCAGAGTTAGAAATTACTGACAGGATCTCAAAGATTTTGAATCCAAGGGCCTTTTAAAATTTACTGGGATGGAATGTGCCAAAAAATTCTAGGCTAAAGCTGAAGACTGGAGCTTCTTTGTAATAATTATTGATTGCTTTATTAAATAATACAAAGTAAATTTTTAAGACTTAAAATTTAACTCAATAACTTGAATTTGACAGATTTTTTAAAAAACACAAGCCAATAAAATAACCACATTTTGTTGACAGTGATTAAGTATAGGCAGCATTTTTGCTATGACAGCACAGTCATGCTACAGGGTTTATGCATGCTAATAGGACTTTTAATTTGCCAGTAACCTGGGTTAACCGCTTCCAGTGAACTAAATGACATTGCAAAATCGGTGCGTTTGAGGTCTGTTTTCTTGAAAAATCAGCGATCTCCACTAGCTGAGTGATATCCAATATAAAGCGGGTCTCAGATTGTACAAGAAACACTGCATTAAATCACATTTTCCCCGCCATGTCTTTATAATATGAATAATTATTTTACCCTAGTATATTCAATGGAGCTTTTGCGCTCCTCTGCCGATTCTGACAAGCGTGTGCATGTAATCGGCTTTTTGTCTCGTTTTACGCTTGAGCAACTACATGAATGCCAAAGTCTATTTAACTGATTATATTTTAATTACAACATCGATGCTGTTAAAGGAACCATTTAAAATGGGAAAAAACTCACAATAAAAGGCCACCGGAAGTTTATCATTATGGGAACAACACTAGCTCGACATATACCCTATTGCAAGCAGCTCCATATATATTTTTATAAAGTTCCAAATAGCTCAGTATACCGTTCTGTGGAGATTCTGCTCATTTATAGCCTTGCTGTCCACTGCCCTTACGCTTTAATCAGAACAGCAACAAACAGCTCTTGCATGGCACAAGCCATTGAAATCAATAGGTTTTACAGCGCAACACTTTCTGTGTCCAGTGTGAAAGCTGCTTCAATCCACACAGGGACTATGGCTGAAAGAAGAGTGAAACCTGAGTGCTGAACACTGCTGTCGGAGATTTTTCTCTTTTAGGCCCAAAACCTAAAATGCCATTTTCAAATGCCAAATTCAATGAAATTTACAACCATGAATTAAAAATTGTAAATGCAGTTTTAACAATGTTCCTAGAATCATATATATATATATATATATATATATATATATATATATATATATATATATATATATATATATATATATATATATATATATATATATTTTTTTTTTTTTTTTTTTTTTTTTTTTTTAATTAATGTTCATATCTTTTCCTGGACTACAAATCAGAATTTTAATAAGAGGTTTCCTCATCTTTAACAACCAAAAATGAATTGAAGTGTAACATGCTAAATTATTCGTTCATATATTTTTCTTCGGCTTAGTCTCTATTTTAGAAGTTGCTACAGCGGATTAACAGGCACTGTAATTATTTTTAAATCAAATTTAAAATAATCTCAAAGCCCAATCAGAGGCTTTCTGAAGTCCTCTATTTTGGATTGGCCCTCTGGTTGAGAAACACTGCTTTAGTGGGCTATCAAGCTCATTTGGTGCTCACAGTTCGGTTTTTCTGGAAAACTTCAACACTGTTTTCTAAACCCAAAAACCAAACGGTCCACATAAAAATCAATCAATCAATCTACGGACAATATACAATACGTCAAAAAAAAAATCTATATATATATATATATATATATAACAAATAAACATTACTGAGTAACTTACATCAAAGTCATCGATGTCATTTTCATCCGAAAGATTTGGAATGTCAATGTTTCCCTTGTATTTGATACCCGATGTTGATGTCCCTATGAAAACAATACAAATCACAACAATTAAAATGACATTAATGTATTAAACTTCAATGTTTACTAAACTAGATTCAAATAAACCTTACTTTACTCTGGGCCATATTCATCCTTAAGTACCTTCTTTTTTGTACTTTAAATAACAATATAAATATGTAAGAATATTAGGAAGACACAAACAATATTTTTAAATACAACTGGGAATAAGTCAAGGTTCCTTACTGATCAGTTTATTTTCAATTTGTCCAGATACATGGTTACAGGTGTCCAACTTTGTATAAAACTTCATATCTTTGACATATGTTCCATTCTACACATAAATGTATGTTTTTATATCCACTGGGCCATTGTACGATGTGTGGTTTCATCCAATTAATTGTATGGATTTTCTAGCACTTTAAAAGACTATGTGTAGTATATGCATCTCTGTTTTTTTCTACATAAATCCTGGGGCATCCTATCAAGCAAGGAAACACAAGGGAGTTTAAAGCAAGTCTATATACAGTACAAATTTTACACAATCTCAACTTTTACCCTCTGCCAAAATGTAAATATTTTCAAACATTGCAAAAATACATTTAAGTGATCTACCTTTCCACACCCCATCCAACATTCCTCTGCATCTGTGCTGTTTTAACATTCATTTTTGAGAGTATGTTTAATTTTTATTATTGACTTAATAAAACTAACCAGAGAAAGAGTCGTTTAAATAAAAACAAACACTTTACAGCTGCTTTATAGCAGAATTGAACGTAATTTTAAGAAGAAAAAAAAACATTACTATTATCATCATTCTTCTTCTTATTATCATATGCTTTATAATCACTAATTTTAAATGTTAGTCTTGTTTTTGAGAGGAATTGCATCCCTGAACGAAGAAGAAAAAAGAACTTTGTTTGTGGCTACAATGGGGTCTTTAGTTTAGTTATACCTGATTTCAATCACAGTGTTCCTTACCTGTCCAGGCGGCCTTTAGATTCCACTCATAGAAGAATATAAGCTTTCCTTTGCGATTGTTGATGGAAGCTTCTCCCTCCACCTTGCTGACCTCTGTGATCTCACACTTGCCCTCTTCGCTCTCCACCTGCAACCCCATGAGTAGCTCCTTCAGCTTCTCTGATGACCAGCTTGTGACGTCCCTCTCTGTCCTAATAATACAAAGCACACTCTGTTATAGTATTCCCTCATTTCCAGGGCTCCACAACAAGGTCATTTTTTTTAACTAGTGCTTTTAGATTATTGCTTTGGATTCGTCATGCCAAAATCAAAACTTCTCCATTATAATTTTAAAACTGCAGGAAAGGTAGGAGTTGAAAAAGACTATAGTCAAACAAATGACAAGTGATTAACATTACATTCAAGTATATAAAATATGCAGAGGTCTTCAGCCTAATTTTACTGAAAACAAAGTGGCCAAGAACTACTCATCATGGACACTATATTGCTGGACAGATTAATGGCATCCAAAATGACATTGTTTTGACATAATATACCAGAGGAGAATGGCCAGACTGATTCTAGTCTATAGGAAGGCAACAGTAACTCAATCACTCATTACAACCAAGGTATGTGGAAGAGAATCTCTGAATGCACAATATGTCCAACCTTTTGGATGGGCTACAGCATAAGACCACACCGGGTGCCACTTCTGTAAGCTTAGAACAGGGAACTTTAAGGCTACAATTCTTTGAGGCTCACCAAAACTAGACAACATGAAAGCATGGATCCATCCTGCCTTATATCAACGGATCAGGCTGGTGGTCACAGTGTGCCCCATCTTCTGATGGCTATTTCCAGCAGGATAACACTCCATGTCGTAAAGCGTGAATCATCTCAGACTGGTTTCTTGAACATAACAACGAGTACACTGTACTCAAATGGCCTGCACAGTCACCAGAGCTCTGTCCAATGAAGCACCTTTGTCATGTGGTGGAACGAGAGATTCGAATCATGAATGTGCAGCCGACAACTCTGCAGCAACTGTGTAATGCTTTCATGTCAATATAGATCAAAGTCTCTGAGGAACATTTTCAGTACCTTGTTGAAACTATGCCATGAAGGATTAGGCAGTTCTGAAGATTATTTGTTTTAAAATCTACAAATGTAAGCATGCAGTGAGATCATAAAAAAATATTAAAAATTTGTACGTGCTGTAATGTGGCTGAAATGGAGCCTATGCATGTAATTTGTTTAAAATATTAAATGCAAATGCACTCGCCTACAAAAATCACACCAATCATTTAATAATAATAAATTATTTACAAATAGACATTAAATAATCTGATTAATTTTATTTTTATGTTTATACTATATATTATATATACCCAACTCCACTGACAATGCAGCACATTTGTCCCAAAAGTCTTTTAAGCTGAAGCCAGGCGATCACATTGTCCAGCCCTGTTCTATATCTTAATTAATCCTCACTTATTACTCCTGATATAATAACTTTGGTCGAAAAGTGGAAAAACAGGTTTTGTGTCAGAGAATTGTCTGATTTTAAAATGCATCCAGTGTGAAATTTAATTAAAGAAATACTTAATTTCGTCTTTGAAAGCACTTATTTGCAAAAAAATTACAATAAGCCAATGTCAAATGTTTTATGTTTTTAGGCTTTAAACATTAGGGAAAGAGGTACACTTCATATTAATATTGCTGAAAATGTATAGTATAGACCACAGAGAGAGATTGTTTTTTTATTTTATTTCAGAGGAATATTTTTATTATACCAAATTGTCATTTTCTGCAAATAAATGCTCTAAAAAACTCTCTAAAAAATATTTTAATGACATGTTTTCAGAAGAGAAGTATTAAACTAAACATGTGGGCCATTCTACCAGAAACATACATTTTTACTAATAAAAATGTGACAGGGTCTGACATAAGCTTGTCTTCCTCAAAAAAAAATAAATAAATAAATAAAATACATACAAAGCAAGTATAAAATCATACAATTCAATGATAGAACACATCCTTGATCCCTGCCAGCTTCTCCATCAAATGATGTCATATCCTTTGAGTCATAACCTTAAAAGTGTATTGCACGCATTTTATGTTAAATTTAATACAAATGTGACAGGACAGACAGAAACATGGGGGGAACAGTACATTTTTTTTTGTATTATATATTTGTAGTATTTATTTGTAGAATTTATTTTTATTTTCATATTTTTAATCAATTGATGTGAAAGAAAACAACCTAAACTGGCTATTTCTGAAATATTTTTTTAAATACCAATTTTTAGTATGACAAAACTAGTAAAGCTGTTGGTTCATTTGAGCTAAGGACAAGGACAATGACAGGGTTTACATTTGTAAAGTGTTTTAATAAAGATAAAAAATCTGAGAACCAAACGAATGACACATTCCTTTACAGAACAACTCAAAAAATCAGTCAATTTTAGACATTTTTTGGGATTAATTACTGTTTATTTACTGTATTAACACTACTGGTCAAAAGTTTAGGGTCAATTTTTTGTTTTTTTAAATATAATTTTTATTAAATAATTTAAATAAAATGATTCTGTTCATCAAGGTGTTTCCCAGTGATGGGTTGCGGCTGGAAGGGCATCCGCTGCGTAAAAATGTGTTGGATAAGTTGGCGGTTCATTCCACTGTGGCGACCCCGGATTAATTGTTAAATACTTATTCGTTAAATATTTGTTATTATTATTGTATGTAGTTTCAATTAAAATAATTACTCCAGTCGTTATTGTTTTGCTTTTATTACTACTATTAATAATATGTACGGTTCTCGTAGAATGTCCCACGTATTTATCAGTGACAAATCCAAATAACTGGTTCAACAGTATTTGCTGTCAAGTGTTAAAAGCGGAGGATGGAGATGTGGCCCATGGCAATGTAATGCAGGGCTCAACAATAAGGACCACAAAATGGCCCGGGGCCAGCGTGAGGGATGTTCGGGACAGTAGAGAGAATTGTTACTGGCCCGATCAGGCCAGTCTGCCTTGTCACAAAATTTTAAATTGCCTTCGAGTCTTCGACTATTTGTCAATTGCGTGCATATATAAAGTTTTAGAATTGAGAAACAATTTGTGCTTTAAAGTCTTTGAATGTTTCGCCTTTTCTATGAAGTCGTAAACCCCATATTGGTTTTTGGTTCCTTTTATCTGATTGGATGTTGTGAGCACGTTATTTTTTCCACAACCTGGTAAAAACCAGTTAAGTGAAGAGACGACGACATCAAATTAGGCTAAAAGAAAGTCTGTTTCTAACGATGTGAAAACAGATATTTACATGCGTACAACACAATGAAAAAAATTAAGTGATGTTTAGCATAGTTTTCTTTCACCTTTAGGTCAGCCATCTTTTGTTTTGCAACAAAATACCAGCACATTTTCCATACAGCTTTATTTTACTGCTTAAATGTGTAATTTTTAAAAATATTTTAATTCTAAATTCACAGGCATTATTTTTGACACATTATTTAAAATATGTGGCTAAGAATTAGCTATTTTTTATTTCATTTTTTTGGTGGGGCAAGTGAAAATTTTGGCAGGGCAAGTAACAATCTAAATCACTGGTCCAATCAGGCCAGTAGAAAATATCCTTAGCGATGAACCCCGTAATGCTTTACTAGACTGATCAAATCCAATCCCTACAGTCCTTTCACAGTTCGTGTTGTTAAACCAATTAATTAAACACTTTAGTACATTCAAACCATTTAAATTGCTGTAGGAGCATCTCTTCTTCAGTAATGATGAATACCCATGCCACCTTACACTGTTGAACCGGAGACGCTAACGAGTAAAGCCGAAGTGAACTGTCGCAGAACAGTTCACAGCTCGAGTGACAGCAGGATAAAAACAAACATTTCCTGAATATATATTATTAAAAACACCAAAGCGTCAGGTGAAAGAAACGTTACAAGCATGGCATAAATACACTTGTGACGACACTAGCCAGACATCCGCATTTGACTTCGTAAATAAAACATAAAAACAGCAACAACAGCTTGAGTGGTTTCTAATACAGCGAGCTTTTAATCCAACACCGACCTAACCGCATTTTCTCCGGGGTGTTCGACACGGAAATGACGGCTGGATCAGTGGAGAGTGAGTGTGCTTTAGCGTGTTAGCACCAAGATGGCTCGAGCAGTGAGTGTGAGTGTATTTGCCGGCTGAATCTCACCAGTGCCAGTTGTTGACGTTTGTGGCGTCCGCTCGCTCCTCCACGATCCAGCGAGGGTCTCCTTCTCCCCACTTTGCCATCTTGGGTGAATACAGATGTTGTATGCGCGTCTGTTGTATGTAACGAATGAAGCCGTGGACTCGCTCTGAATGTGTCTGTCACGCGTGAAATCTCGCTTCTGGAAACCTCTCGACTGCTGCCGAAGGTTTTGTTGCTCGTAGAAATTACTGGAAACGGAAGTGAGTCGCGCGCTCAGAAATCCGTGCTGAACACGAGGCTGAGTGGAGAGGATTCCGCGTGAAGCAGGAGGACGGTTTGATGGTGCAATAGTATCCAGGTATAATTTTACTAGACTTTCGAAATGAATAGTTAGGGTTACCTTTATACAAACACATTTCAAAATAATTTAATTAGAATTTTAATATGCAAAATAACAACATGGAGTCTATGTAAATGGAAGATAACGTCTGAAAATGACTTGTTTCTGAAGTAGCACGAATGAGTCGTTTGGACAAAACTCAATCTAAAATAATGCTGTTAAAGTCTGTGTGAAATCTTTTTGTTTGTTTGTTTGTTTCTTTCTTTCTTTTGCTTATCCACCTTGTAATTTTTTAAATGAAAGATAAATCTCTGAAAGTTAATCTTTTAAAGCAGATATGCCCAGAGTTGGCCCACCATCTCATCTCATCTGAGAGGAGAGTGAGCATGATGAAGAGTTTTTGGGTAATTGCCTTTGATCGTCATTTTTTATAGTTCTATATTTTGTTTGCTTTATTTCTGAGCTATAAAAAAGCTAACTGAAATTAAATGTTTCTATTAAATGTTCTAACTGAATCTAAATGTTTTTAAAAATGTATGTATATACTATCACTCGACAGATAAGAGGACTATGCAGAACACATTGGCAAGCAAATTCTTGACAAACACTAGTGTAATTCTGTTATAAATTAGATTTTGTTTTTTACTGTAATAAGTTTATTGTACAATGTAAAAAATACTATACTTCTAGGCCCACACGTAATCTGTGCACGCAGAATTCTGCGGATTTCCGCAGATTTTTAGCCATCATTAATTCTGTTTATTTACTTATGTAAATGTGTGTAAATTTGTATTTTTTAAAGTAATTAAAGTAATATTATTGACTAATATGAAAATGTTCATGAGATTATTGTACAATGTATTGTGTACTGTCATATTTTCTGTCTTTTAGTAGAGATATTATATGAGAGACTTTCTTTGTTTACCAAATAAAGTGAATCTAATTGGGTTTGCATTTTAAACATTAAATAAAGGTTAAAAAGGTATTACTTTTTATTTCATATATGCATATAGTTACGATACTCCCAAAATAATTCCGCAGAAATCCGCAGATTTTTACCAAAATTCTCAGCAGAAATAGCAAAAAAACATCCACAGATTCCGTCTGGCCCTAGATATTAGTTAATTTAAAGCAATGTTTTGTAGTCATTTTTAAACATTATTGAATAAATTAGGAAATTATCAAGTTTAGTTTTTGGCCCTTCATAAGAAAACGTTTGGTCACCCCTGCTCTAAAGATATTGTTTTGGTAAACTTTAATCAAAGTCTGACCATTTGTTTACTTGTTGTTGTTTTTTTGATGTTGCATAGTGTAACCCAGGGATCCGTTCTTCGCACCTTGCTTAAATGATCTAAGATGATTTGGCAGATCCTAGATCTTTTAATCTTCATATCTGATCTCTGGCTAATTTGATTCTTCAATTTCGCGAATAAGATTAAAATTTCTGGATGAACTGATCTGAGATCGCTGCGTGTGTTGTTAAGGACTGATCTATCGATCCTCAAAATCATGATCAGCAATGCAATGATTAGCTGAAGGCACAGCAGCGTAATGACATCATCTGATTAATAATCAATTATCTACACAAGCTAAATTACATCAAATTAGTAGTAAACGGTTTGTTAAATATGATGCATAATAACTTCACACCTTGTTGTGGGCTGCATGCTTGGCCCTTTCATGTGTCAAGAGCAATTTATTTAGATTTACAGTTTGAGCGGATTTTCCTTATTATAGTAGCCATAGTAGTATTATTGTAGCCGTGTTTTTAACCAGTGTAAAAAATAACTGGATGTTTACTAAAGACTTTGATATTGTTGAAGGCGTCTGCAACTTTTATGAAGCATCAAATCCCCGTCATATTAACTGTCAAAACATGTTTATGACTGCATAAATGTATTATTGCTTTTAAAAAAGCCACATATTCTGCATTTCTATTATCATACACAAATTATACTAAAGCGATTCAAAAAGTTCATATCAATAAGTTTTCTCTTTGCACCACCAGGTGGCAGTCTTTGTACTTTAATTTCGGGGATGCAGATTGCATAAGTTTCATTAATATATATAACTTTATTTATTTTATTAATAACTATAACTTTATATATTTTAAAAAAATATTATTTTCCCAAGTGTATATAACTACTACTGTAAGAAAATATCAGAATTCGGTACATACTTTCTGTATTATCTTTGCTTGATCTGACCCGATCAACTCCTGTTTATATGAATTAAACCTGCTTCCGACCAGGTTTGAGCTAGCAGAACTGTTGGTATGACAACAACTTTCAGATCAGTTTTGAAGATCCAGGAGTCTGTTCTTCGTACGTGGAAAGCTGATCGGAGAGTTGTTGTCCAAGCAACAGGGGTCTGTTCTTTGTATCTCGCTTAAATGATCTAAGATGATTTGGCAGATCCTGGATCTGTTCATCTTGATAACTGATCTCTGGCTAATTTGGTTCTTCAAACAAGTTCGTGAATCAGATTAGAATGTCTGGATGAACTGATCTGAGATCGCTATGTGTGTTGTTAAGGACTGATCTGTCGATCCCCGAAATCATGATCAGCAATGCAATGATTGGCTGACGGCACAGCAGCGTAATGACATCATCTGATTAATATTCAATTATCCATGTGAGCTAAATGACATAAAATTCACAGTGAACGGTTTGTTAAATGTGATATGCAAATAACTTTACACCTTGTTGTGGGCTGCATGATTGGCCCTTTCATGTGTCAAGAGCAATTTATTTAGATTTACAGTTAGAGCAGATTTTCCTTATTATAGTAGTATTATAGTAGCCGATTTTTTTAATCGGTGTAAAGAATAACTGGATGTTTACGAAAACATTTTGATATTGGTGAAGGCGTCTGCAACTTTTGTGAAGCATCAAATCACCGTCATATTAATTGTCGAAACATGTTTATGACTGCATAAATGTATTATTGCTTTTAAAAAAGTCACATATCATGCATCTCTATTATCATACACAAATTGTACTAAAGCGATCTAAAAAGTTCATATCAATAAGTTTTGTTTTTGCACCACCAGGTGGCAGTCTTTCATTTCTAAATTTAGTTAAAAAAATATTTACTATTTTCCCAAGTGTATATAACTACTACTGTAAGAAAATATCAGAATTCGGTAAATACTTTCTGTACTATCTTTGCTTGAACTGACCCTATCTAATCCTGTTTATATGAATTAAACCTGCTTCCGACCAGGTTTGAGCTGGCAGAACTGTTGCTATGACAACAACTCTCAGATCAGTTTGAAATAATGAAACGACCCTGGATTGTGTCAAATCGTCAATAACCAAATCCAGCTAACTGAGTAATCCATGTAAAACGGACCCCTGGTTACTAGTGGGTACAATAGCACCCCCCCTCCCCATTTACATGATCGATGTCTTCACATGGATGAATATCATTAATTATTAATAATAGCATATAATTAAAAGTAAATTGCGAAAATTTGATATTTAAGAAGTGTGTATTAAACTAGCAGCCCTTCACATTAATCGGTACCCAAGAAGTAGTTCTCAGATTCAAAAAGGTTGGTGACCCCTGTTCTAAAAGATTTACATATAGTTTTAGTAGTCTTTTATAAAATGGGAAAAGTTTATTTACTCATTTGTAAGTGGGGACCCTTCTCTGTTGATGTCATTCATTCTTTTCGGCTTAGTCCCTAAGGGGTGGGGTGGCGGCATAGCTGCATAAAACATGTTTTACAAGTTGGCGGTTCATACCCCTGATAAATGAAGGGACTAAGCCAAAGGAAAATGAACGAATGAAGTGATGAGGATACAGCACAAAAGTGAAAATACTGCTACAAATTTAAATCAACCAAAAATGTTACCACTGTAGTCCTATTGACAGCCTATTGGCTACAAATTATTCTGTTCATTTTAAAACTTGTCGTATAGAATAATTAATAAAAAAAAAAATCATTTGACTTAATTGTTCAGCTTTATCAAGCAACTAACTCTATAAACCAATACTGACAGCCCACAGGCGTAAAGTTCACTGCTCTCTTCTGAAGTTTGGCATCATTTCAGAAAAGCCAAGGACAAGATCTGCTAATATTGTGAAACAGAAATAAAAGCAAATAATACTGTTTCTTTCGTGCAGATTTAAAACAAGATTCCTCAGCAATAGAATTGCATCTTCTTCAGCAGATGGGTTACAGCACTTCTCTTGTCTCTTCTCTTGACTCTCTCAAACTGTAGGTGATTCTTCAGCATATGTGACCCTGGACCATAAAATCAGGTAATTTTAAGAAAATAAAAGTTATACACCATCAAAAATCTAAATAAATTTGCTTTCTATTGATGCATGAAACGTATTGGACAATATTTAGCTGCAATCTGAGGGTTAAAAACACAAATGTTAAGAAAATTGACTTTAAAACTGTACAAATTTTATTTTTGGCAATGCACATTACTAATAAAGGTTTTGATATATTTATAGTAGGGAATTTACAATATAATGCTCATATAACATGGTTTTTATTTATAGTTATAATCATTTTAGGCTTAAAAAGGCAATAATTTAAAAGCATACAATTGATTTTTGACTTTTCCCTCAAGGATATCTAGGGTAATATGACCTCATTCATTGGCTAGTGTTTATATTAGATAACTCTCTCTCAGCTGTTTTTTTATGCGCAAAGGGACAATGAAGCTCCTGGTTGTGGCTGCTCTTGTAGGACTGTGTCTTTCCCAGCACAACACTAACTTTAAACATAACCGGACGTCCATCGTTCATCTGTTTGAATGGCGTTGGGCAGATATAGCTAAAGAATGCGAGAGATACCTGGCACCAAACGGCTATGGAGGAGTACAGGTAAGGTGCATTTACTGCACTCAACAAAAGTATAAACGTAACACTTTTGTTTGTGCTCCCATTTTCACAACCAAAGCTCTTTCTATGCTTACAAAAGACCTATTTCTCTCAGACATTGTTTAAACATTTGTCTAAATCTGTTAGTGAGTACTTCTCCACTGAGATAATCCATAAGTGTTGCATTTTTATTTTTGTTGGGTCTAGTGAAAGAATGATGTGTGATCTTTTGGATCTTTCTGAGCTTTTAAATGTGCTGTGTTTAAGTTTTTGACTGTTCTAAAAGATAAAAACAGCATAATATGTTTGCAGATATTTAAGAAACGTGCTAAGTGAACATTCTTGTTTATCTGAAGAACAATGCTGAAGTCAGATATTCTGCTTTGAAAATGTAAGTTACGTGCCGGAAAGTCTGTCTCTGTTTTGGTCCCTTTAACCTGCCCAGTTTAGTCAATTATGTTTTAGCACTCCGGGTTACCTTGGAGGAAAACAGCATTTTTTATTTACTCAGTCAGGAAGGCTCTCAAAGCATGTGCCCGCAACCAAAATGCGACCTCCAGTGGACAGTAGCATACTCCAAAATGAGACGCAGATTCAGTGTTCCACATAAGGTGGTTATCAATTAACAAATAATATAAATAATACAAATGTAAACATTAGGTGAGCAGGTTACATTGTAACCCAGTGTCCCAACAACACTCTACATGACAAAATTTGCAGTGATAAGCAGTTTTGCACCAGACAAAACATGACAGAAATATAAATGCAGCCATTCAGGAGCACAGAATATGTGCACTCACTGCACTTCAACGAAATGGTAAGGTTTATAATCTAATTAGTACATATCAAACCTCTTTAACATTATGTACATGCTGAATCACTGATATGTGTTGGTTTGCACTGAGTCACAGTTCTGAAGTTCAATTTCAAACTGTTTATTTTATTTTTAAGATCTGAGGTGAACTATCTGCTGCTGCTTTTAGTTTATGGCAATAAATGAAACATAAAATGGCATTCAAACTCACATTATTAGCATTTAACACTAAATGAAGTGATCATTGTCAGTTTTCTGTTGTTCCCCTGTGAGAAATAGAAGCCGTTTCTAAAATAGAAATTTCAGGTTTTGGTTATAAAAAAAAATATTTCTTCTAGTGCATGGCGTTGCTTTTAGTTAGAGAATGGTTCAAATCAGCCATAAATAAGCCTTTAGGCTAGATAGTCAGACAAACTTACATCAATCTGTGAACCTGTGGACCCATGGACTAGTCGGAGAGGAGTGGAAATGCATTTTGAACCAGGAGTGCAATACCTAGTTCAACCACTGGGTGTCAAAGTTACATACTGCACCTTTAGGAGGTAAAAGACTCCAACGTTAAAAACGGTAAATAGCAGCCGTCTTTGATTTTGCAGATCTCTCCTCCCAGTGAAAGTATTGTGCTGACAAAACCTTGGCATCCTTGGTGGCAGAGATATCAGCCAATCAGCTACAACCTGTGCTCCAGATCAGGAACTGAGGAAGAGCTGAAGGATATGATCGCACGCTGTAACAATGTTGGGGTAATGCAAAATAAATGTGAACCTTGTTTTTACTTTGGTTTTTAAGGGGTGGTTTAACACCAACCAAAACTTTTAAGGGGTGGTTTAACACCAACCAAAACTTCTGTCATAATTTACTCTCCCTTCACTTGTTCCAAACTTGTATGAGTTTCTATCATCTGTTAAACACAATTAGTAACGTGTTTTGAAGAAAGCCAAGAACAGGTAACAATTGACTTCCATACTATTTGCTTTTCCTACTATGGAAGTCAATGGTTACTGGTTATCAGCTTTCTTCAAAACATGTTTATTTGTCTTACAGGTGTAGCAGGATCCCAATAAACATAAAAACTCATATTTACACAGAGGTTGATATTAATTTGCCTGTGTTTTCATATATGTTAAAGCTTCAAAATACAGCTTTCTGTGAAAATTTGAAAGGATTTAAAAAGGTAATTTATGAATTTGCTAAAATATTTTTGACAAATGAAGGATGATTATTTTAGAGTACTTCATGCTGTGTGTGTTTGTGTGTGTAGGAGAGAGTTAGAGAGAGCAGGCATTGGCATAAGCTGTGGATCAGAGCAGAACTCATTAATATTTATGACCCTTCCAAATATGGTTAAAATGCATCTTAAATAAGCTTTCCATTAATGTGTGGTTAAAGTATGTAAAAATCTGTAATCTGAGGGTTCAAAATTAGTTTTGTTGAGAAAATCACCTTCAAAGATGTCCAAATTAATTTATAAGCGATCAATATTACAAATACAAATGTTGTTATCTATATTTACAAAGGAAATTTACCAAATGTCTTTTATAAAACATGATCTTTGGATAATATTACAATGACTTTTGAGATCATTTTATTGTCCTGAGTCACATAATATTCTTATTCAACTATTAGCCCTATTCAAGTGAATAGAAAATAATGAAACTCTTTTGAAGATGAACTTATGATTGCTTAATAATGTTCCAAATTTATGAATTCTACATATTTATTTCTAATAAAGGTTACTCTACACAGTTTTAAAAAATGTCACTGTACTTGTACAGTCCTGTTTCATGTTTATCAACAAAATGCAGTACAAAAATGTGTAAAAAAAAAAAATGTTTGCAAAATTTCAATCTTTGACTAAGAATAACGCATTTTTAAAAAAATATTCTTCTGGCTCTGAATAACCCTAAATGCAGGATAGTTAAAGTAATGGATTCATCTCCTGTGTGCTGGTTTGCTACAGGTGAACATATATGCAGATGCAGTGATCAATCACATGTGTGGAGCTTCTGGTGGAGAAGGCACTCACTCCAGCTGTGGAACATACTTTAATGCAAAGAATGAGGACTTCCCCTCTGTCCCATACTCATCATGGGACTTCAACGATAATAAATGCAAAACCGCCAATGAAGACATTGAAAACTACAGTGATATTTTCCAGGTAAAGTCGTTTATGTTTTGGTTTTCTACAGTGTGCCTATAAATTAGGACTAGTGTAGAAAAAATATGCTGAATTTGATGAAGTAACTACAATTATACTGTAAAAATTCATGGGTGTTTGGTCAATTTGATTTACTTATCCTCTGAAACTGATTGAGTTTCTTTTTATCTGTTGAAAACAAAGAAAGATATACTATATATAGGAAGAAAAAAAGAAAAGCCATTAGCTACGCTTCTATTCCCTTATTTTATGCGCTTTTTGGAATATTATAAAAATGCTTAATGAAAACACCATGATGGATATAAATTCAGAATTTTCATATAAGAACATACGCAAACAAGTAACAACTGACTATGATAAAGTTTTTATTCAGTAATAGAAAATGCACATGAACTACGATGGAAACACATTTACCAAAAAAAATCTTGCATGCACATCAAAAAGTCATGTGATTTTGTTTTAAAAGATTGTGTGACAACAAAAATTGTCACTAAGGGATGCATTAATGGACAAACCAGCTGACCGACCATATCGTAAAACATTGTTTTGGTCTTTCTAAAATCCTTCAGTCAAAGTCTGTCATTAAAGTGGTTTAATTTTATAATCTTCCAGAACTATCTTAAGCGTCTGCACTCCCAAAGACATATCTGTCAACCCTCCTTTTTTGCCGGAATTCTCCTGTATTTTACAATTTAACCCCGCTATCATCCTATTTAAGTATTTTTTCTGTATTTCTCACATATTTTTTATTTTTCTATGAAAAGTGAAAGTAGCATAAATCAAGAGAATTAAGCTTTTGCTTTATTTCAGCGTGAAAGCACGTGGAAATTAATATTAAAACAGCTTCATTCACTTCATTTCCCTTCAAACTATGCATTGACCATTGCCCTTCCTATGCAATTACTGAGTCAGTCCAGTCATGTATCGCTGATGACTGACAGATGCGATGTGTAGTGATAAAGTCGAAGCTTCTGTACACGCGATTTGTAGAGGAGCGAAAGTGGACTCTTTTGGATTTGGCTGTGTTTGTAAACAGAAAAATACATTTATTAATATGTAAACATGTCCGACTTGGTGTGTTATATTTTAAACACAAAAATTTTGTCAAAAATGAGCACAAACAGTTACTAAAGTAATCGAATGCTTTCATTATAGATCTGTGCATTCTTACTGTGACAGCTTTGTTATCACACAAAACAGTGTATCAAAATGAGAGATTTGCTCTTTACTAAATAAATATAGTAACTTTAATCAGTATTTAAATCAATTCAATAAAGGTCAACAAGATTTTATGACTTGATTTCATTTCTGTATAGGCAATAGATTTTAATAGGCTCAACCTTTTATTATAGTGTCGTTATGTTCTAATGTTTGTTAAGTATTCTATAATTTGAGGCTAATTTCCTTCCCATATTTGTAATGGTTTGAACTAGGCTTATATACAATTAAACTGCTCTGAACAGATTAAGGAGTTTTTGGTCGCCATTTTGGTAGTTCTTCTGGAAAGGTTTGAATTATTATTATTATTTTATTTTTATTTTTTTGTGGGTATGCGCGGCAGTATCCCAATTTTTACATCCCAATGTTGATAGGTATATGTCTAAAAAGCATCTCACAAAATAAACTGTGTTCACTGCGTTCTGAGGCAATTTAACAAATTTGAAAAAGGGCCCACAGTGGATTCTCCTACCAGCAAATTTAGTTTTTCTGTTTGATATTTGGCACCAGTTTATTAGGAAATGGTAATTTTGTTCTTTTTAACTTATTGGACGAATAATGTTTTATGGGATATTCCAGTTTTTTTTTTTTTTTTTTTTGGCATAGGCTTAATTCGCATATCTGGCTGGAAACATGGCTTTATATAGTACTTTTGTTTTTACTATGGCTGTCAGTGGCTGCTTGTTCCCAACATTCTTCAAAATATCTTCTTTTTTGTTCATCAGCAGAAATATTTTTAAACTGTATTTTTATTCATTTTTTACATTTAAAGAAGAAAAGTAGAGAAAAAGAAAGAAGGAAATAAAAAAATGACAAATGAACAGTTGACTGGTCATGTAGGTCATTGCAAGTCATGCTGACAGGTACAAATCTAATAAAAAAAGTCAGGTTACACAATATAAAGGTATAAACAAAATCCATTTCTCCCAATATTGCAAGTATTTGCAATTGTAATTGTAAAAGTATTTGCATTTGTAATAGCAGAAATGAATTCATTAAGTTTTAGAACCACTGGAGTATGTGTAAATGATGTAAATTCTTTTTAAGCCGTGAACTGTCCCTTCAAGATGTTTTGTTTTTGTTGTTGTTGATGACACATTTTTTCTATTTCTTTTTTTTTTATTATCAGGTCAGAGATTGCCGCTTGGTTAGTCTGCTGGATCTGGCCCTGGAGAAGGACTATGTTAGGGGAAAAGTGGCTGAATACATGAACAAGCTGATTGACATCGGTGTTGCTGGATTCAGAGTAGATGCTTGTAAACACATGTGGCCTGGTGATCTCAGTAATGTCTACAGCAGACTCAAGACCCTGAACACTACTTGGTTTTCTCCAGGCACCAAGCCCTTTATTTATCAAGAGGTATCTCTCTTCCTTCAGGACCACAAGAGTTATCTAAAATACCTGTCAAAAGCATTAATATACATGTCCTTTTTTTAGGTTATCGACTTGGGTGGGGAACCTATTAAAGCCAGTGAATATGTTTCTCTTGGAAGAGTCACAGAGTTTAAGTACAGCGCAAAACTGGGAACAGTTATTCGTAAATGGGAAAAGGAAAAGCTGTGTTATCTCAAGTAAGCAGCAATTGCCTCAATGTTTTCAATTAACCTAAAAATGAGTGGTCTGTTGTTATTTTTTTACATACACTTATTATTGACAGTATGCCAGGTAAGTTACTTTGAAAATGTATTAATTACATATTACTTAATTATAATTGTGTTAAAATTACTTTCTGAATACTTTGTCTAAAAAAGTAATTCAGTTACTCAATCTCAGTTAATACACAACATAAATTGAACTCTTTTAATTTGCTATAAAAAAGAAGCTTTTTTTATTACTTTTATACATACCATATATGGTCATTTCATTTGTTAATTCATTTTTTCTTCAGCATGTGCAATTGTTTTGTATATGGGACCTTATATTGTATACACAGGATGTCCACATGGTCTTAAAGGGGTGGTCCAAGCTGTATTTTTAAGGTTTGGTTGTGTTTAAAGTTTGTAAAGTAATGTGTGCTGGTACTTCATTTGTAGAAAATCACGTTGTTTTTTCATATATCTTACTTTGATTATATACAGCTACTCAGCCAACATGAAAATGACTGTTATATTTCCTAATTCCTCTAAAAGCCTTCCCTCAAGAGGCTCTGATTGGTCAGCTAACATAATGTGCCATTATTTGCGAATTGCGTTCACGTCACTAGGAAGCATAATTATTATTAACAACATAATTATAATTAAAATGAGAGAACTTCTTTCTTTGTGTCATGTCCTTTGGAGGCCCAAATACAGAAACAGAAGAAGCTCTTTGAAAATAACAGCGTTTGGACGGCATTTTAGCTTTCTCTGCTATAACATAAGATCGCCTCTGGTCACCTCCCTTTGCTGCGTAGGATGTACACTTGTGGAAATGCACGTAACCTGAAGTGTTTGTGATCTCACTAACCCAGATGTATTTTTTTGTAGTCCACAACTTCGTTCGCTGTTGGCTTTGCTAAGCTAACTCTGTAAAAGTCAGTGTCTCTCTTTGAGCATATTACATTCAGAGTCGTTGTTAATGTTCACACAGGTACATTACACATCAACTAAAGTTTAAAAAATAATATCGTAGTGGACCACCTCTTTAAAGTGTCTTAGGGTGCTTTCACACCTACATTTTTTTTTCGGAACCTGTCTTGTTTGCCCAGTTAGTGCTGTTCGTTTGGCATATGTGAAACCAGCAATCGCACTAGGATCCGTGCCAAACCAATCGCTCCGAGATCGCCTGAATGAGGTGGTCTCGGCTCGATTGAAACGAACTCTGGAGCGGATTGATTGCAGTGAGGCAGCGACACAATCAGAGCGCAGTTATATCACAGTGTTTTATGGAATAGGCATATGGCTATTTGAAGAGAGAATTATGAGTAGGGCAGGAAGTTTGGGAGTCTCCCGGATGCCTGCAAACGAGTGATAATCTCCCGGTAATTGCACGTCTCCCTCCCGGTCCTCAAATATGTCGCGCACCCTTCTCACCCCTCTCCACAGCATCTCTCCTCGCTCTTCAGACACATCGCGTGCACCTTGTCAAACACCACCAAACCACCACCTCTCCTGACAGCTGTGCGGGACTCTGCAAAATAAACCCTGACACTCTGACCAATGTGAGGAAAGTTTACTCACACGTGACTTGTTTTAGCTCTTTTGGTCCAATTAGAAACTTTGCAGTGTGAAAGCGAACCGCACCAAGAGCAAAGAGCAACAATGTAACAATTTTAATCCCTGTTTCGAAACAACTTACATTTACATTTTACATTTAGTCATTTAGCAGACGCTTTTATCCAAAGCGAATTACAAATGAGGACAAGGAAGCAATTTACACAACTATAAGAGCAACAATGAATTGAATGAAGTGCTATAGGCAAGTTTCAGGTCTGTAAAGTCTAAGAAGGAAAGTATTAGTAATTTTTTTTTTTTTTTTTTTGGGTACAGTTAGTGGTATATCCAGAGAGGCAATTGCAGATTAGGAAGTGAAGTGGAGACTAAATAGTTGAGTTTTTAGTCGTTTCTTGAAAACAGAGAGTGACTCTGCTGTTCTGATGCAGTTAGGGAGTTCATTCCACCAACTGGGCAGATTGAGCGTGAGCGTTCGCGAAAGTGATTTCTTCCCTCTTTGGGATGGAACCACGAGGCGACATTCATTCACAGAACGCAAGTTTCTGGAGGGCACATAGATCTGCAAAAGTGACAGCAGATAAGAAGGAGCAAAGCCAGAAGTCGCTTTGTAGGCAAACATCAGAGCTTTGAATTTGATGCGATAAGCAACTGGCAGCCAGCAGCTGAATCGAAAGCTGGTGTGAAAGCACCCTTAAATTTCACAAACTAAATTTTAGGCTTTAAAAAGTCTTAAATTCACTGAAATATTGTGTTGTAGGTCTTAAATCATTTTAAACAGGTTTTATTTACCCAATCTGGCCAACACCTATCCAATCACTAGCAATCCATCTCAATAAAACTTTTTACAAGTTAAAGTTATTAACTTTATTTACCAATATGATTTAATTATCTTATTCACATCCATGCATAAATATTTCTTTAAAAAACAGCATGTATTTATAGCTACCTGGTGAGGTCACTTTTTTTTTTAAATTGTCAAAAAAAGAAAAGCATGCTGATAAAAAGTTTATGTATATAACTAGAGTTTGTTCTTTTTGACAAATTATTTGAAAAATGTGGCTAAGAAATAACTAAATTATTATTATTTTTTTATGGGAATAAAAAAAATAATATAAGTCAACAAGCAAACTTTCTACTGTACATAAGAAAAATACTTCAGGTTTAGCCCTGTATTTAGTTATAATTTAATTTAGAAGTCTACTTTTTATCTTTTTAATTTCGTTACCTTTTTAATTGAAAATTAGAATTAGTCTGCAAAATATATTTTCTATCATGCAAACATTAAACAAAATCTTTGAGAAATGCCACCTTGGTAAATCTCTGTCATGAAGAATAAGGCAGTTCTGAAAAGATGGTCTAACTCAGTACTAGCCAAGGTGTACGTAATAAAATTGAAATGCAAGTTAAGCTGATCTACGATATCTTACAGTGTTTGATCCATTGTTATGGGTTTATTTTGTGCTGCTATTGGAAGACCATATGTTGTGGAAAGTGTGTTAGTTGTTGGGGAAAGTTTCTTTTAAAATGAATGTGTTACAACCATAGACTGAAAAAGATATGGACGTAGTATCTGTGACCTCACCTATTGGTTTCTGAAAAACGCAAAAGAAGCTACAAGTAGGCATTGCCAACCATCGCCATTTTGTTCGCTCATCATCGCACCAACCGGTGGAGACCAAACATTTTGCTTAGACAGGCTTGTCTTCGGTAGAAACGCTTAATACTTCATTACCTGCGACTCGTTTGTGTTCTGACCACATGTGCTTGGTTGTACACTATATCAATAAAGTGTTTAGTCTTTTAAAAACACTGCTGTAATACACAGAGCCACTAAAAATTGTTCTACAGGAAGAAAACACAAATTACTTAAACACTTAAAATATAGTCTGTGTTAGTAAATGCAAGGTTATTTATGAAATCCAGGCATAACACTGGATGACAACATTTAAGATGACTGTTCTAGAGCCTACAGCTAATCGATCTGTCAGATTCTGGAGTGCATTACAGGTCTAAAGAAAATTATAAATGATAAATGATCCTAAATAAAACAAACGCATTTATAGAAATGGTATAAGTATATAATTTCACTCACCTGGGAAATGGAGACCACTTGAATGGTTTGTGAGCACAAATAAGTGCACACAGCATGCCATATCATAATTGTAAGAAGTAATTCCATAAAGCATTTGACTGTGTAAAGTCCCCAAAAAACATAACAAAACATACGATGTACTGTATATGCTGAGTTCAGCAACTAATCAGCCAGAATCAGCTGAAGTGACGGCGACCAACGAGACCTAGCTGTCACTCAAGTGGCCACGCCCTTAATTATGCAGACTTAACATAACCTAAAATAAATGAAACAGATGAGTTCTAAAAAAAATTCACCCTCCCACAGTTGGCATGAAGGGTAATATTAAACAAAATCGATCTTTGTATCAGGCTGTAAACACCTTTTTTTTCTGCTGTAAAGTTGGCCATTTTGACAGTGGTGTCAATAGAAATTTCTCTATTATGGAGCCAATTTTGATGAATTGCAGTTTCAGTAACTTCCGTATTTGGTTCAAAAGGGAGAGCGGGAGGTTGGCGCTAGGTTACAACATTGAGTTACTTTACAAAAAAGTAACTAGTTGCATTACTTTGTTACTTTTTATGGAAAGTAATGCGTTACATTACTTTTGAATTACTTTTGCATTACTTTTTATTACCTGGCTGAGGCTTGTTCTCTTTCAGAACTTGTTTTTTTTTTCCTTTTTAATAGAGGATCTCTGCAATAAGCAACACACTGTATAACTTTTATTTACCTTTAAAAAACACATCAAAAAATTATACCGTTAATAACACTATCTGAGAACTTTCTTACCCCAGAGCTCTATATGCCGTATATACAGATTATTGAAAGTTTAAAGCAATGTGTTTGCTACTTTTAAAATAATGAACTCATTCTCTCATTGACTGTGTGATTCATAGTGACTACTTTAATTTAAAGCAGCAGTTTATTTTTAAAAGCTCAAATATTATTTCTTATTTTTTTTAAGTAATGCGTTACTTTACTTGAAAAGTAATATTATAAAATAAATTTCACTTCATGTTTCAGCTTTAATGGTTTTTAAATGGTGTTTTGGTTTAGGAACTGGGGAGAGGGCTGGGGGTTCATGCCCTCTCATAAAGCCTTGGTTTTCGTGGACAATCATGATAATCAGAGAGGCCACGGTGCTGGTGGAGCTTCTGTTCTGACATTTTGGGACTCTAGGTAAAATCAAATGTTTTAATTTGTATGACAGCTTATGCGTATTCCTGCTGCAAGTGGTTTGTTTTATGCTGTGTATTTTAGGCTTTATAAGATCGCGACAGGACTTATGTTGGCTCATCCATACGGTGTAACAGCAGTCATGTCCAGCTACCGATGGGATCGACATTTTGTGAATGGGAAGGTAAATACTTGCACTTAAAGTTATGACTATACTGTCCTGTTTATGACTATGACATAAATGAAGAGAAGGAAAAAAGATAGATGCTGTGTGTGTTGGTACCTGGATGGTTTTGTGATTAAATATATTAGCAAAAAAAAGGATGGCATGATTTTCCTGATTTATTATTTATGCTTAAAATTGTGGAGTTCATGCTGAATACTGAAACTTGCTGTCTTTATTTTAAAGTGACATATTTAAGTATATCACCATATTTGGATTGAAACGTTTATATAAAAAAAAAACATATTTTATTTAATTCTATATTAAACAATAAATTGTCATTATGGGGTCCTTTAAACATTATTATTAAGATCTTGGAATTTGTAAAATTTTTATGTATTTCCAAAAGAGCATTATTTGTTTATTTTTTTTTTACATTTTATTGACCAATATTGACTATGAATTTATTCAATAAGTTAAATAAATGACTATTATTTTTTATTACATATTTTTAATAAAGCTGCATGTACTATTTATTTATGTTGAAAAATTATATTGTTTCAATAGCACACAGTGGGGGAAATAAGTATTCACGTGTTGTTTTTCTTAGAAAACGTATTTCTAAAGGTGCAATTGACTTGAAATTTTCACCGGATGTTGGTAACAACCAAAGAAATCCATATACGCAAAGAAAACCATATGAGTTTGTTTACAAGTGAAGTTATACTGTATGCAATAAAATAAAATGACGCAGGAAAAAAGTATTGAACACATGAAGAAGGGGAGTTGTAGAAAGGCAGTGAATGCCCAGACAGCAGCTGAAATCTCTTAGTGTTATTCAGCAACCCTCTGTCCTTTGTCAGTGTAAACTATTATTAGCTGCTGTAAGGTCCACCCAGTTGGTCCAGTGGAGGTATCCACAGGTGGATGAAGGTTTAATGCCTGTTCAGTCTTTCCAGTGCACAATGTTGGTTTACTTTAAATTTAACTCCTATCTAACTCCAATTTGAATACAAGGTGGTTTAGAATATTAATATATTTATCTTTTGTTTTATTTGACTCCAGTCATAAAACATTAAGAAGATTATATCAATATATAATTTAGATAAATGTTTGAACCTTTTATCTTCACTCGTAACCATCACATTTGTTCATTCGGGTGCTCCTGTCGCTCAGAGAGATCGCACCAGCCGACGGCGTCCCTCACGGTCACACTCTTATCAGTCTTGAATATTAAACAGAGGTATATTAGGTATATCAGAGGTATATTATATTGAATATTAAACTTTCAGATAGCCGCCCCCATGCTTGCTCATTCTAAAGTATTTTTGATTAGTCCTCCTTAGATGTACACCCTTGAGTAAAGACAATATCATTTCCAATTAGAGGTTAGGGCTATTATTATAAATGTAACTGACTATTGTACTCTATAATAATTTTGTTTTAGCCAAGCCCATGGTTACCCATATACACTTAATTTTAAATAACATTACTTTCAAACAAGGGTCGGGTACCCAATCTAGGTTAGTCATGCAACTCCTTGTTGTCCTAGACAGAAGTTAACGTCCTTTCCACCTAAGTACACTTGAATCAATATCAAGAGTTTGTCGGATCCCTAAAATACAATTAGTGTGCCCAATGCTTCATCTCAAATGGATTTTAGTCCATCTACTGACCTGACACAGAAAGTGCGGAAACAAGGATACAGCGTAATCTACTAAAATGAATAATTACAGAGTAAACTAAATATGTTCAAACATTTTAATAGTCAGGTAATTATGTATTATGCCAATTATTCAGCAAATTTATAAACAATCAATACAAGACAACAAATCCTCAAAGGTATATCCAAAATCAAAAGATGCATACCTGACTTCAAAATATACATAGTATAGAACATGAAGTTCCGCGCTATGAGCTGATCTGGATAACAGAATTGTCTCAAACATTTAGAAACTTTCCCTTAAGTAGTAAATCCAAAACTCCCCTCAAGGAAAGGGGTGTGTGAATAACAAAAGGCATTTGCATTTAGTGGAAGAATTTCTGCCTATAGGAAAGGCACACCCTTGGCAGTGGTTCAAAAGATACTTGAAGTTGTATATTTATTGTTTTGATTATGTCTATTTCTGAGGGAATAAGACCATTGTACCAGTCGCACTGAGACATTTCAAATGATATCAAACATGATAGATGAAGTCACTTGGGTTGATTTAGAACATTCCGACTTTGAAATGACCATTCTGTGCGAGTAGAGTAAAAAGGGGGCTGAGTAACCAAGGTGGGTTTCGAGAAATGTTTTAAATGTAAATGGAGGAAAGGAGTAGAGTTAGTTTTCCCGCATTCCCACCTGGGGGTTTGTGGAGCCGATTGTCTCTCTGTGTTTTCAGCTTATATTTAAATTGTCAAAGACATCAAGGTTTTTGTGATATCTCAAGTCTCACAACTACAACATCTGCATTAGCAGGATGATGAAGATGAAGCCAGGGTGGACGTTTTAGCAAGACAATGATCCAAAACACAACCAAAGAAACTCTCAAATGCTTTCAGAGAAAGAATATCAAGCTGTAGAATGGCCCAGCCAATCACCTGTCTTAAATTAAATAGAAAATACAAAATAAACATCAGATTTCATAGACGAGACCCACAGAACCATCAAGACTCTGTTGAAGTCTGTGAAAAACACCCAAGCAATGCTTGTGACTTCATTCTCCATATGAGAGGCGCTTATAAGTTGCCATCAGCTAAAAGCCCTTAATATAAAGTATTAAATAGGTTTCAGTAGTTCACTACTTTCTCCTTGTGTCATTTCATTGTTAGATTTTTCTTATTTTTGGGGGTTTTTGTTTTGTTATATTTTATGGGTTTCTATTATGTTATTGGTTTCTATTATATAATATTGTGGGTTTATATTATGTTATATTAAGTTTGTGTTTTACCAAAATCTGGTTAAATTCCATGTCAACAGCTCCTTTATTTATATTATTCCCAGAATAAAACATGATGAGTTGAATACTTTTCCCCCCACAAACTCTGAAATGCTTTCAGAGAAAGAATATCAAGCTGTAGAATGGCCCAGCCAATCACCTGTCTTAAATTAAATAGAGAATAAATAGAGAATACATTTAATTTAGAGAATACATCCTGGCCAAATCTGCCCACTGGCCTCTGTCCATCATGGCCTCCTAACCCTCCCCATATCATGATTGGCATATCATCACTCTGTCTCCTCTCCACCAATCAGCTGGTGTGTGGTGTGCGGTCTGGCGCAAAATGGCTGCCGTCGCGTCATCCAGGTGGATGCTGCACACTGGTGGTGGATGAGGAGATTCCCCCCCATTGTGTAAAGCGCTTTGAGTGCCCAGAAAAGCGCTATATAAATGTAACGAATTATTATTATTATTATTATTACAAAATAAACATCAGATTTCATAGACGAGACCCACAGAACCATCAAGACTCTGTTGAAGTCTGTGAAAAACTCACACCAGAGCAATGCTTGTGACTTCATTCTCCATATAAAAGGCGCTTTTAAGTTGCCAATCAGCTAAAAAGCCTTTAATACAAAGTATTAAATAGGTTTCAGTTGTTCACCACTTTCTCCTTGTGTCATTTCATTGTTAGATTTTTCAGATGTTTTGGGGTTTTTGTTTTGTTATATTTTATGGGTTTCTATTATATAATATTGTGGGTTTATAATGTTATATCAAGTTTGTGTTTTACCAAAATCTGGTTAAATTCCATGTCAACAGCTCCTTTATTAATATTATTCCCAGAATAAAACATGATGAGTTGAATACTTTTCCCCCCACTGTATATTAAAATTATCTAATGTGTTGTGGTTTTAACCCTTTAGTACCTTACTGAACATTTTATGTACACATTATTCAAAATCCTGTATGTTTTTTTTATTTTTATTTTTTTAACTACAACACAGGACCAGAACGACTGGATGGGCCCTCCTAGCAATGCCGATGGATCCACAAAGTCAGTGCCCATCAACCCAGACTCCACCTGTGGAGACAACTGGATATGTGAGCACAGATGGCGTCAAATTAGGTAGCTATGATGTTTTTTTTTCTGCTATACTAATCTTGCTGAAGTCACTGTCACATACCAACAGTCTTCATGTGCTTCCTTTGTTGCCAGGAATATGGTGATTTTCCGTAATGTGGTCAACGGTCAGCCACTCTCCAACTGGTGGGACAACAATAATAATCAGATCGCCTTTAGCCGCGGCAGCAAGGGCTTCATTGTCATCAATAATGATGATTGGTGAGAAACAGGCAGAGCTCATACATGAGGAATGAACATCACAGTGTAATAAAACACATTTATCACATTACTACATGCTTAATGCAAGACACCGAAAGATGCAAACATAAGTCAAGTCAAAGTCAGCTTTGATGTTAATTCATCCACATGTACAGGACATACAGAAAATTGAAACTGCATTACTTTCAGACCCTATGTGCATAACATAATATTGAGACAAAAAGTAGAATTTTTAAATTAAATAAATACAATAAATAAAATTGTATACAGTACAATTACAATTAAAGGCATAGATATAACTATATAGGGCATAACTGTAGTTATCACTATATTTTCCTACTTTATTATTAGTTAATTATATCAAGCATTGCATTTATTTTAAAATGTTATTTGAATGTAAAAAAGTATTTCTTTAAATATGTTTAAAAATACAGAAATAAAGCCATACAACTGAACAGTCAGGTACAAAATTATTGTTTATTTATTTATTTACATTTTAGAGTTGGAGTGGATTTTTGAAATCTCAATATAATTACAAAAATAAAAAAAATAATTTTTGTAGAATATATTGTTGTTTATAATCAGGTGTATCATGTATGAAAACATCCCTCCATAAAAAAAATTTTTAATTTATATGTTGAATAAACTTTAACTCAATTTAATTAGTTTATTTCTACAGCACTTTTACAATGTAGATTGTGTCAAAGCAGTTTCACATAGAAGATTATAGTAAATTGAAACAGTATCAGTCTAGTTTTCAGGGTTTAAGTTCTGTTCAGATAGGTTTAATTTTCAATCCTGAAAGTGCAAACACTGAGAAACAAATCCATCGATGCACAGCTTCACAAATCCTGAACATGCAAGCCAGTGGCCACAGCGGTGAGGAACAAACTTCACCAATTGATGAAAGTGAAGGGAAAAAAACTCAAGAGAAACCAGGTTCAGTTGGGCGTGACCAATTCTCCTTATTCTCCAATGTCTCGTGCAGAGCTGCAGTTTAGGCCCCAGAGGCTGGAAGTCACTCACTAGCCACATTATTAGGTACAATTACTAGTATCAGGTTGGACCCCCTTTTGCCTTCAAAACTGCCTTAATCCTTTGTGGCAAAGATTCAGCAAGGTACTGGAAATATTCCTTATAGATTATGGTTTATATTGGCATGATAGCATCACACAGTTGCTGCAGATTTGTCAGCTGCACATCCATGATTGAATCTCCCATTCAACCACATCCTAAATGTACTCCTATTGGTTTAAGATCTAGTGACTGTGGAGGCCATTTGAGTACAGTGAACTCATTGTCATGTTCAAGAAACCAGTCTGAGATGATTTACGCTTACTGATGTACCACGATACACTGTGGTCATAAAGGGATGTACATGGTCAGCAACATTACTCAGGTAGGCTGTGGTGTTGACATGATGCTCAAATGGTACTAATGGGCCCAAAGTGTGCCAAGAAAATATCCCCCACTCCATGCTTTCATGTTGTTGAAGCTAAATTCTGACCCTACCATCCGAATGTTGCAGCAGAAATTGAGACTCATCAGATCAGGCAACGTTTTTCCAATCTTCCGTGTCCAATTTTGGGGAGTCTGTGTAAATTGTACACAGCAACCATGCCATATTCAAAGTCCCTTAAATCACCTTTCTACCCCAGTTTGAACTGCAGTAGATCGTCTTGATCATGTCTAAATGCCTAAATACATTGACTTGGTGCCTTGTGATTGGCTGATTAGAAATTTGCATTAACAAGCAGTTGTACAGGTGTATTTAATAAAGTGGCTGGTGAGTGTAGGTGCTGTTGAAGTGGAGACTTAAGGTGCTTTCACACCTGTGAATCGATTCAGTTGTTTCGAAACAGAGATTACAAATGTTACATTGTTGCTCTTTGCTCTTGGTGCGGTTCGCTTTCACACTGCAAAGTTTCTAATCGGACCAAAAGAGCTAAAACAAGTCATGTGTGAGTTAACTCTCCTCACATTGGTCAGAGTGTCAGGGTTTATTTTGCAGAGTCATGCTCAGCTGTCAGGAGAGGTGGTGGTTTGGTGGTGTTTGACAAGGTGCGCGCGACGTGTCTGAAGAGTGAGGAGAAATGCGGTGAGAAGGGTGCCTGACGTAGGAAATTTGAGGAATGGGAGGGAGACGCGAGATTAACGGGAGATTATCACTCGCTTGCGAGCATCCGGAGACTCGCGAAACAGGGTGCTTTCACACCTACGCTTTTGTTTTGGAACCTGTCTCGTTTGCCCAGTTAGCGCAGTTCGTTTGGCATATGTGAACAGGGCAATCGCGCTCTGTTCCGCGCTAAAGTAATCGCACCGAGACCACCTGAGTGATGTGGTCTCGGCTCGATTGAAATGAACCCTAGAGCAGTTCGATTGCAGAGAGAAAGCGATCCAATCCGAGCATGGTTATATCACAGTGCTTTATGGATATGTAATAGGCATACGGCTATATGAAGAGAGAATTATGAGTAGGGTGGGAAGTTTTGCGAGTCTCCAGGTGTCCGCAAACGAGTGATAATCTCCCGGTAATCTCGCGTCTCCCTCCCGGTCCTCAAATAGGCATCGTCTCGCACTTTTCTCACCCCTCCCCACCGCATCTCTCCTCAGACATGTCGCGCACGCACCCTGTCAATCACCACTAAACCACCACCTCTCCTGACAGCTTAGTGGGACACTGCAAAATAAATCCTGACACTCTGACCAATGTGAGGAGAGTTTACTCGCACGTGACTTGTTTTAGCTCTTTTGGTCCGATTAGAAACTTTGCAGTGTGAAAGCGAACCGCACCAAGAGCAAAGAGCAACAATGTAACATTTGTAATCTCTGTTTCGGAACAACTGAATCGATTCACAGGTTTGAAAGCACCCTTAAAGCAAAAAAAAAAAAAAAAATGAAAACAGCCTTTAAAACTGTATACTGTAATTGTATATTGTGGCCAAAAAGTAAACGTCATAGATGTAAACAATTTTTTTCAATATACAGTATATAAGCAAACCATAAAGGCCCCAAATCTCCAAAAAGCAGTAAAAGCTGTGTTTTTTTACTGTAGTGTCTCATCTTAACTTAATTTGTTGAATGTCTCAGGGATCTGAATGTGACGCTGAAAACTGGCCTGCCTTCTGGCACGTACTGTGACATCATCTCTGGAGACAAGAGCGGGAACAGTTGCACAGGGAAACAGGTGACGGTGGATTCTGATGGACAAGCCACCTTCAGCATCTGCCACACAGAAGAAGATCCATTCATGGCCATCCATGCTGACTCCAAACTGTAGATTCAGTTTCATTTATAATAAACACATTTTAATTTAAAATAAACTTTTAATAAAGCAGAATCACTTAAACCAAGAGTGTGATGATATTGCTGTTGAAGAACATTGATTGTTTAAGATCATGTCATGAATTATAAAAGACAAGCCACAGGGGCTTACACAGAAACACAATCTTCTGATTCAGGAAAAACTCCTGTATTAAACTGTATCTGAATCTCATGACCTCCAGTTTTATGATAATAGCTTGTTTGGTTTTACAGTGGCAATAATATAAAAGCAGTTTTCATTTTGAAAAAAAATATATTTACAAAAATCTTTAATAGTTTTTTTCAACCAATTACAAGGACAGGCATATTTAGTTGTGTGTTTATGGTTTCACTACAAAAACCTTACTAGTTAAACTTTGGTTACACTAGTAAAACATCCTGGACATGTTGGGCTTTCAGGAAATAAGCGAGCAGATGCAGCTGCTAAGAACGATTTTAAACAAGTGGTGAACAATTACCAAATTTCTCCCGTAGAGATGAGACCTTTTATCAATGTTTACATTTGAAATAAGTGGCAAATGGAGCGGGATGCATTGCAAAATGATAAACTGCATGAAATACAACCTGAAATTTCAAACAGAGTTGTAAGACATTTTAAGACTAGAATTAATCAAGTGATTTTTACCAGATGTGGTGTTAAACATATGATTAACCATGTTTTTTTGCTCAAAGGTGAAGACCCTACTCAATGTTGGTTTAGCAGACAGTAAAACGCATCTTACTGTATAACACATTTTACTGGACTGTCCTGTTTTCATTCTAGAAGGCGTATTTATAAAATGAACTCTCTTGAACACATTTTTAGCAAAGTGACACCAGGAAAATGTTTTAGAATTTTTATCATGTACAAATCTGAAAATCTACTTTATGTATTTATTTGTTTGTTGTTTTTAAGCATACATTTATCATTGAAATGTTCTTGCCATGAAAATAGCTTTGGTTGCTGACATGGCATTAAATCAAAAATATATATAGGCCTACACCAGTAAAACAATGATTGATTGATTGGTTGGTTGATTGTTAAATTTTACAACAAAAGCCAGTTATTGTAGCAAATCAAACAATTACGTAGAAAAAAATAGTAACTATTAATCAAAGACAATAACAACTGATGTTGTTTAGACAAAAACGCAGCCCTGAAGAAGATCATTGACTGATTCAAATGATCAAATCATCAGTCCTGTAATCAGAGTGCAACTGCACATTTACTGAAGGGTATGCGGGTTTTTTGCCCCCAAAATATTTTGTATAAATAAACTGAGGATATTTTTTTCTCGCCAACGTGCTTCAAACAAATACATTTCACAGTTCTGAACACAACTAAAAAAGTATGAAGTAGTAAAAGTAATTACACTAAGTTAAGTCACAAAGACTTGAGATCTCATCCCACCCCAAATTTCTTCTCAATTTCATTTTCCCCACTACATGATTATAGCACCTTGACATGCCTCGCTTTTGTAAGTTTTGTACTATATTTGTCAAAAACAAAATGATAGATTAAGGAGTCCTAAGGGAAAAACTTAAAAGTGCAATCACTTCTCACATGCTTACTGTGAGAGGTGGAAGGTTTGCCTTTGCATGAAGAATTGCCTGAAACATCTATTACACTTCTCACAAAGGGAAATAAAAAAGACTGTAAAATGTTTGGTGTAAAAAATAAAGACAAACTGCCTGAAATGGTAAACTTTGTCAAAATGTAAAATGTAACTTTTTTTGTAACTAAAATAAAAAAAATCACCAAATTTTAAAAAAATCACCAAAAGGCCTGATGTATCAATATGATACATAATAAATTTATAAAACATGGTATAAAAATAGATCTTGATAGAAGGATTAATTAACATTTCAGTTTTTAAAAATGTGAATATTCTGACTATTCATGTGTGAGTTTTAACAGGGTTAAGAAGCGTTATAATCATCATACAATTTATATAGGGGACTTTTTTTAATCCAAATATTATTTTCTATTTTTATCCAGCTGCAACGGATCAATCAAATCGTCAACGGAGGGGGAGGGGTGGTGTGATTTTTTTTTTAATTGAATAAAATAAATATTATATTATACTCGTATAAAATGCAACATAGACATTAACAAAAAAAAATAATATTTGAAACTTTTAACTTCAAAAACAGTTTTGGCACAATGGCGTCCCCCATGAGGCGCGCGCCCTTCATGCGCCGCATCATATGCATACCCCCTTTTTGCGCCTCTGCCTGTAATAAAAAAAAACAAATAGACATGTATATTTAAATTGAAATTATAAGAAAATACATAGCTGATATTATACACCATCATTCCTAAAAAGATAAAAAGAAACGCCACAATTATTAAAAGTATCTAATATTAAGCAAAAATATAACAAACTGCTTACTATATCTCTAGGCCATCCGCGTTATCGTAATAATTGCAGACTTTGTTACAGTATTTAATGTTTAACAATTTGAGTAAACTAAATTTTGACAAGAAGTCCCTGGTGAATGGGTAAGTGTCCGGATTCAACATAGCCTGTAACGTAGTGGCGCGAAAAATGAACGCCATCGTCAGTGCAGGCGTGCAGCCGTTAATGTTTTGACTTTTCCTGAGGTAAGAAATAAGCTCGTTTTACCCCATAAAATAGCCGAATTAATTTCAAGCCACTTCGTTATCATGACACTGACACCAGAAACACACTTTAAAGACGTATACTTAATCTATAACTATTTAAATAAAAAAAATTGACGTGAAGTTGAAATTTGCAGAGTTTCAGTTGCGCAAAAAGATGCAATGTTAACTTACACCATCACTGCAATCCTCGAGGTTTTGATTTTCTCAGACATTTATTTGCAAGATAGGTTCTAAAAGAGATAGCCCATGGTGGTCACAAAGACAAGCCTTAATAATCCCAATTATGAGCTTTCACTTCAGGTCATCAATGTTACCGAAATATCTCTACAAGCTCCACAAACATGCGTTTATTACTGTATTTAATGTTTAATTTGAGTAAACTAACTCTTATTTTGCCATGAAGTCAAAGTTTGCTTCTGGTGATTTTTTAAGCGTTTCAGTGACTTATACAAATAACCACTAGATGGCACTAGAACACAAATTTAACCCTTTTGTACTGTTAAGGACATTTCCATCCACTCTGGGGTGATTTTGTTTCTTAATTTGGCCATAACATTTTCTGTTTCTGCTAGCAGAATGAGTTTTGCTGACAAATCTTATTTTGACACATATTTTGATAAAATGCTAAGGTTTAAAAAAAAAATCCTTTCTAAATAAAAAATACACTATGGGTAAATGTACTACCCGTTGTTATGTTTGGCGAATGCTGTAGAAATGCATCAGATGAATATTTGTTTCAATTTTTTTTCATAAATCTGTTAATCAACCTCAGTCCTGATCAAAACTACTAAATTGTTTGGAAAATTTACAGGGTTGTAACTCTTTAATTGCCAATTTCATAAATGATGTCACCGATTTGGGTGAAAAAAAACACACAAAATGACGTATTTTTTAATAAAAGCTGTGAACTGGATTTTTAAAAAACCTTTTATCACAGTCTTTTTAGTAGCAACGTTGGTTTTGATGCATTGCTAGATATAATTTTTTTAATGTGTTTATAATATTGTAAAATGTTTTTGTATAGCCAAATTTGATAACGTTTTGTTGTTTTAATTTTATACTCATTGGTATATTTATTTGATGATATGGTCATTTACTGAATGCTTTGACAGTTTTATTTAGTTTCTTTAGTTATCTTACAGCTGAGAAAGCAGCCAGATGTTTTGCAGCAGCACAGAAGAGGTGACAGCGGGTTCGAGCTCAGAGCCCGAGCGGAGCAGCAGCACTTTAACACCATATAACCTGATGAACTACAGTCAGATATTTGGCAGACAGCAGGATCCTCCATCATCTTCTGTCCTACTGACTTCACGTGAATCTGATGATGTGCGGATCAGTGTGTGTCCAGGGTCGAGCTCTGATACTCTGCCATCTGCACTCTCAGAAACCACACCGACTGCAGGTGACTGAGTGAATGAAAAATAGTAACCTAAAATAAATGGCTGTAAATCTTATGAAAATAATCATTTTCCTTTGGCTTAGTACTTTTATTTATCAGGGGTTGCCACAGGAATGAACCAGTTTTACTTACTTAACCGCTTTATTTAATTCATCTACTTTACAATTGAACTTTATATATAATTTATATATAATATATTTATATTTATATAATATTTATAATATATAAAAAACATTTTGTACAAAGTTGAATGAATTCCGAGCCCCTCTCATTGTCAAAAACAATATTTGATGATGTGAATATTTTTGGTATTTATTTAAAGGGGTGGTCCAGAATGTTATTTTTAAGGCTTGGTTGTGTTAATAAGATGCAAAGCAATGTGTGCTCATGTTTAACTTGAAGGAAATCGTGTTATTTTTTCATAAATCTCACTTTGATTATACACAGCTACTCAGCTAACATGAAAACGACTGTCATATTTCCTAGTTCCTCTAAAAGGCCCACCCTCAAGTGACTCTGATTGGTCATCATCATAATTTTTTTTTTTTTTTTTTTTTTTTTTTTTTTTTTTTATTGCTTCAAGAAACTGTATAATACAATTTAGAATATAGTAAAAGATAACAGTTCTTTTACACAACAATCACATTACATACACAAGATAAAAGTAAAACTAAAACACAGTACATAAAAAAAAATAAAATATAAATAAAAATAAAAAAGACAGTATAATAAAAAAAAGAAATAAATATTCAAGTAGCATGAAAGATCTCATCATATTTGCCCAAGAAAGAAGTACATTTCTTATTTTCAATTAATCTAAGAGATTTAATTAAATGTTCTATTTCACATAAGGGTCATCATCATAATATGCTGTGATACGCCGATCGGCTTCACGTCACGCCCTGACAAGCACGCGCGTTTTGTGTAAACAGTCAGTCAGTCAGTCAACACGTGTCTGTAACGAGTGAAAATGGGATGCGGCTCCTTTAACTGTTTCTGTGCCTTTTAGTGTGTTTATGCGTGTATACGATGAAGCATCTGTAACACGAGAAGCGCATGTGCGCGGGAGAGATTTTTATTGTTCTTTTTCTCTCATGCTCGGATTAAGTTATTTTCTGTGGTGACAGAATAAAGCACAAGATGTGAGATGAGACCTTTGTGAGCCTGGATTGATTTGTTTTTGATGTTACACTCCAGTTGGGAAATCATTGCTGTATTTTTTTTAAATCAACGCGTTACAGGACGTCTTTCATGCATATGCGGAATATGCCTGTGTAAGTAACATGAATCGTTCACATATCTTTTGCGACTTTATTGTCCGAGTTGTAAAACGCATAGCATAGCTGCCTATAGAGAGAAACTCTGCCGTCTCACACAGAGAGACGCAGGTGCTGGCCAAGAGTGCGTGTATGTGTATGTGTGTGTGTGCCCGTTTACAGCCGTTTGATAAATATGGATTTGTAACGTTAGCTAAGTCGTTAGCGGTTACCATAATTTCCCGTTGTTTACATCTTTGCTACAACACACCGTTAAAGTTAGACACTGTACATGTCATGATCAATTTTAACAAATAAAAACACTTACAGGTCATGACTCAGAGTTCACAGCGTCTCCTTGCTCCATCTTTGAGGAGATTTTAACTGAATCCAGCACTGAACTGGGAGAGATTCTGGAAGCTGTGTTTTGTCAAATCATGCTTGCTATGTATTTTATAGTTCTCTGGAACATAATTAATATTGAACTGTAAGCATTTCTGTGTTTGGGTCGTGTCATTTGGAAGCCCAACAACAGAAACAGAACAGCTCTGTGGAAACAGCAGGATGGCATTTCTCCCTCTGCAGTAACGTTACAGCGCCTCTGGCCACGGCCTTTACCTGCGCAGTGTGGGATGCGCAATAACGAACTTTTGTGATCTCACAGGGGGCGGAAGTATTTTTTGTAGTCCCCAAAATTCGTTAATTGTAGGCGTTGCTAAGCTAACTCTGTACAAATCAAGGTCTCCCTTTGCATTAAACTTTGAATATTTTACATTCAGAGATGCTGTTTATGTTCACACAGCTACATTACACATCAACTGAAGTTTAAAATATAATATCGTAGTGGACCACCCCTTTAACTTAATCCTGGGAGTCATTCATTCATTCATTTTCCTTTGGCTGTTTTTCAGAGGTTGTCAAAGCGGAATGAATCGCCAACTATTCCAGTATATGTTTTACACAGCGGATGCCTTTCCAGCTGCAACCCAGTATTGGGGAAACACCCATGCACTTAATCACACACATAGATTACGGACAATTTAGTTTATTCAATTCACCTATAGTGCATGTTTTTGGACTGTGGGGAAAACAGGAGCACCCTGAGGAAGCCACCTAAACACAGGGAGAACATGCAAACATCACACAAAAATGCCAAGTTGCCCAGTCGGGACTCAAACCAGTGACTTTCTTGCTGTGAGGTGACAGTGCTAACCACTGAGCCACCATGACACCCCATTCTAACAGTTAGAATGGGCTATTTATTTAATTCAACTTTTATTTGTAGAAGCTACTTGTGAAATAAATATAAAATTAAAAATGTAATTAATTATAAATTATTATACTAAAACAAATATTTTAAAAAATCACAGAAACCCCTTTTTTCTTTGTCTTGACCTATTTGAAATACAATTGTTTGCTATAGAAACATCTATAACTTTTCACCAATCAGAAAAGTTTCTATTACATCCAGGTTTTCCAACGCAATCTCACGACAATTTATAACTTTTAGATTTTTTGGCTAATTCGTATGAATTCGTACAATCTAATTTGTACAATTTAGTATGATTTGCTCATCACCCAATGACGGTTGGGGTTGGGTGCCACGCCTCTTTTTTAAAATCGTACATTTTTGTATTACTGAACTCTTTGAAACACTGACTCTTAAACTCAAAGCTTAGGACCTTCTTATTGTGGGTCAAATTGACATAGATTTATTTTAAATCTCCAAAAATCATAATAAAAGTCACACAAAAAATAAAATAAGTTTAGTTCTCGCAGATTAAAAAAAAAACTCATATTATTTTAATTTCACAACAGTATTCAGTTCACCAGAGTTTTAAAACAGTAACTGTTTTTTAACAAGCCTGATTTTTTATAAACAGTATTGAGTGTATTTTTTTAATCATTTATCATTATGAATCAGTTTAATATTTTAAACCGAAAATATGTGATAAAGAACTTTTTCTGTGCGCAAATGAATGCAGTTTTTTTGCTATCAGCATTAAGATCAACATTTTATTTCCAGTTAAATTAACAATTATTTCAGCTTATAATCTATTTGCAACTGTCACGTTTGGGTTGAGAGAGAGGAGGTGATGACCAGAATGCAGAATATAAAAGACTTTATTACATAAAAAGTAAACAAAAAATTTTAAACAACCCAGTGGGGGAAAAAAAAACATAGCATTAAGAAACTGACTGGACTTGACTTGGCAGGGCTTGGCATGACAGACACAAAGGAGACCAGCAACCACGGGCCAGTACAGGACAGCACGCTGGTAGATGAAATAGGGAAGGCAAACCAAAAAACTTACAAGCGGGTAGTTGAACACACACACAAAAAAATAATAATAGGATAACAAGGTGGGTGGGACAAGGCGATTGACAGCAGAGCACATGACACAAAGAAATTAATCGCGTGTTCTCATAAAACACGACACTGAAGCATGCGGCACATGTAAACATGAACCATGTGCTAAACACAACACCAACAGAAGACTGATCATGAAAACACTCACCGTGCAGGCGTGCACTCACATGTGGTATGCATGTTTCCGATCCCAGCGTCAGCAGTAACCAAAAACAACTAGACTGGAGCGCTGAGAACGAAAACTACATGCTGCAAACAAAACAAGCACACCAGGAAGAGAGTGCATCCCAAGCATGGCCTGAGCACAGCCAAGACGGTGCGCTTACAATTACAAAGACAGACAATGAGTGCTCGACATGGCAGGACTAGTGTCTGGACTCTGCCACCAATATAAGAAATGACAAGACAGAAGTGGCAGAATCCTGACTGCATCAATGTCCATAATTCATTTTTGCTAGGTATTACTCTTTAATGTGTAACCTAGTCTTCCAGACAAATCGAAACTCAAAAGAACACATTTAATTGTTATCAATCATGCCATCTAGACGCAGAATATGCATGCAAAACTTGTATGGATTGACTCCTCTTGTGGTTTGTCCTCAGCCCAGGGTCACCTGAACATCAGTGAAACAGCGTACAGGACCAACTCTTCTGGAGGATCATCTGCTCACTCCTGGACCTCCAGCACTCCACAGCTGAAGACCACACCTGCACTGTCACACCACAGCCGAACCCCTCGCAGAGACCTCAACAGTACCCAGCACTTTAGCGTTTTCTGTAGTCCTCATTCAGTCTTTTGTTTAGAGTGAATGTGCTCTTGAGTTCACTGTTCAATGCTTTCACTGCAGTGACAACATCTTCATCTGCATCTGCATCTCATGCGGCGCGTGCGCCTGTGATCGTGGCTGTGGTGGAGGGACGAGGTTTAGCTCGAGGGGAGATTGGGATGGCCAGTATTAACATGAAATACCCTGAGCTGGTGCTCTCACAGTTTGTAGACACTGGTACTTATACTAAGGTAAAACTTCATTCATTCATTTATTCATTCATTCATCCATCCATCCATCCATCCATCCATCCATCCATCTATCCATCCATCCATTCATTCATTCAGTCAGTCAGACAGTCAGTCATTAGCCCCTTTCACACATACAGACCTTTCCGGAAAATTGCCGGCAATTTTCCGGAAAGGTTGTATGTGTGAACAGGTCCTTTTTGAAAATACCGGTAAATTCGTTCTGGCTTTTTTCCGGAAAGAGAAGTTGTAACATTACCGGCAATTTGCCGGAATGCTGTGCTGTGTGAATGCAGAAGGAAGATTGCCGTAATAAGCGCGTGCACGTCTAGAACGTGCTGACGTGAGACGTCTGCTTTAGCCAATCACAACAGTCAGACGCATTTACGTCCGCGCGGTTTGTGAGGATAAAAGCCTTTGAATATTTTTCCAGACACATTTAGCTGCTAGAAGTTAGTCAGATCACGTTTATATGTTCTTCTTAATGCCAACTGTGTAAATAATCATCGATGAGATGCTTATGATAAGCCGTTGTTTGTTTACCTTCAAGCTTTGCGTGTGCCTGTGGAACAGCCTGTGAGCGCCTGCACACGCACATATTATGAACATCTCGACATGAGAAAGTGATCCTGTGAAAGTTGTTCACAATATTGATCATCCACAGAGTTTGTAATTTAGTCAAATGTTTACAAATACAAGCACAGCCGTTTAAAGCTCATTTGTGGTGAATGATGTCAGAATTTACCGGTATTTTGGAATGGATGTGTGAATGCTCTTTTCCGGAAAATTTCCGTAACGTCCTCGCCTGTGTGAACAGCGCTTTTTTCAATATACCGGTAAAGTCTTTCCGGAAATTTTCCAGATATTTAACGGTATCACTGTGTGAAAGGGGCTATTTATTCAACCATTCATTCATTCATTCATTCATTCATTCATTCATTCATTCATTCATTTATTCATTCATTCATGCTTTCATTCATTTATCCATTTATTCATTCATTCTTCCATCCGTTCATTCATTCATTCGAATATTATAGATGAAACCACTTGCTAACTATGGATGCAATGCATACTGTATTATGAAAATGTGTGAATGAAATCCCAACTCCAAACACATTTCAGTGACCAAACAGAACTGAGGAACAAAGTCTTTGCATTGACTTGTTCCTGGACTAAAATGTAAACTTGAAGGAGATCTATTATGCAAAAATCACTTTTATAAATGGGATAAATAAATTTTTTGTGGCAAGAGTGTGTGAATAAAGACAGCCTTTAATGGTAAAAAAGAAAGAATTCTGTTTTATGTTATCACACTTGATAAAAACAGTCTGCAGAAACCATTTGATTGACATTACCCCTTTGTACAGGTCGTCAGAGGGGAAAAGCCCCACCCATTATCTCTCGCTCATTAGCATAAACAGCTCTAAGTGAGAAGCAGCCATTTGCCATTAGTGTTTTCACACCACACCTGCTGAAGATAATGTCAGCAACTAAGAGGCATCATACATTTTATATTTTAGGATGGACAAATGAACTGAAAACAACTGAAGACCGAAGAATACCTCCATAGAGTACATTTCTGAGCCACTTCTTCTGACATTATATGTTTTTAAGGCACTTCACTGGCTTCCTAGTTTTAGAGTAAATTTTAAGATTCTGGTAAATATATATAGAGCTCTGCATGATCAAGCAAACCTTTACATTCAACATCTTTTACGTAGTCACTCATGTAGCCGCTTTCTGAGGTCTTCTGGCAAAGACCTTTTAGCCATTCCCACAATTCGTCTTAAGACTAAATGTGACCCAAGATTCTGGAACTCTGGGATCAGTTGAACTTTTTAAAAGGTATTTAAATACACATCTTTTTGGTCAAACTTTTAATTAACAGCATTAGTGTTTCTGTACTTGGATTTTTAACTTTTTTTTAATGTTTTATTTTATTGATATGTGTTCTTTTACCTGTTTTCTGGTTTTCTCTTGTTTTAAAGCAGTTTGTGACTCAATGTCTGTGAAAGGTGCTATATAAATAGATTTTTACTTATCTAACTAGATTTTCAGTTTTTAATAGAGATAACAGTAGTCATGTTTTGAGTCTACCACTATGCTGACACGTAGGTGTTTGTAGCTTCGCCTTCTTTTAAAAAGTGTACAATCTCATTTGAATTTAAAGTGACAACCATAATACAGCACAATTTGGATAAAAACATTATTAATGTGGTATTTTGAGCTCAAACTTCACATAGACTCATGTTCGCGACTTATGTTACTTGTAAAAAGTGCATTTTAGGTCCCATTTAAACTTGTTTTTTAGATGCAATTGTGTCTCAGTCTATATCACGTTCATATTGTTTTTACGAATCCAAATAATTTAAATTTATTAATTAAATTAATTAATTTAATGTAATATTTTTATCCCACAAAAAAATGAAATATTACAAAATGCCAAAGTTTCTTACTGATTTTATTTTAAAGTGTGAAAATAGAAAAATATATAATTTAGTGCCATACAGTAAATCATTCAATCATTTTCCTTCAGGATAGTCTCTTTATTCATCAGGGGTTGCCACAGTGAAATGAACCGCCAACTATTGTGGCATATGTTTTACCTAGCGGATGCCCTTCCAGTTGCAACCCAGTACTGGGAAACACCAATACACTCTCACATTCACACACATACACTACGGACAATTTAGCTTACCCAATTTACCTGTAGTGCATGTCTTTGTTATCTGAATTGTTACTATTATGTTAATGAGTTCATGACTGGGAAAATACTGTTTTCCTGGCTGACTCCTGTACTTCATTTGCATGCTTTGTTTAGATTTGTCTCCACCTCCTTAACACTGCTCCACCTAAAACACATATGATAATCGGGACAACAGACTCTTGTAGACTCTCAGAGACTCTTGTAGACTTCTTTGAAGATGTTGTTTGTCTGCAGAACAACCAACACTTTCTCAATAAAGATTTCTCCTTGAAATAAATGTCCTGGCTTGGGTTTTAAAATTCCCAACAATTTGGTGCCGTGACCCGGATAAAGACTAAAATCACAAATTTCCTACAAAAGCCATTGCTTATTAGCAACAATTTTTATTGTCATTTATTCATCTTTGATCACAAAGCAAAGATGAGTTTGTACTCTTGAGACCTGTGGTATCCTGCAAAAGATTTGTAAAAGTGAATAATGTTGGCTGTTGTCACAGGTAATCACCAAGCTGCATAACCTGACGCCGATGGAAATTCTGATGCCAGACACGGCTAGTGTAAAAGGACAGGGAACCAAACTCTACAGTCTCATCACAGAGACCTTCCCGGTACAATCCTAGTTTTCTACCTCTTTCTTTGCTGTAAATCAGGCCTGTATAGGTGACTCACACCTGTAAATCAGCACTAATGTCAGAGATCTACAGCGTTAAAGTTATAACTGATTTTAAAAATTATAGTGCAGATTTTTTCCCTTTGCTCTCTGTGCAGTCGGTCACATTTACTGCGGTCTTGAGGAGGTACTTCAATGAGAAGAAGGGCCTGGAGTTCATACAGCAGCTCTGTGTGCCTGAGTTCACCACTGTGCTGATGGAGGTGCAAACCAAGTAAGAACTCCATCTTTACAATAACATGAGTTTTGCACATTTACATTATTTTTATGTTTCAAGATTTGTGTTTTTTTTTGCCGTTTTGGACTGCAGTACCTCCAGTAGGTGTTTATAAAAATATCCGTGCAGTGTTTCCTAATCATTACCCAGACTCTGGCCTAATTATCTCAATATTTGTTTTCTATATTGAATGATATCAATATATATTTTAATATAAGTTGTACCCCATCAATGACTGAATCCACAAAAATTAGAAGGTCAATTAAATGGCATAACATATTTTTGGCAGATAAATTTTTGGTGGCCAAAAATTTGGTACATCTCTAATTTTAACACACTTTTAGATTCCCATTGTTGCACATTTCTGCTGTGTGATTGGCTCTTGGATTTTTATAGAGCAAAACAGTCCAGATCTAATCATTGTTATTGATATAAATTTTATCACGATTCAATATAATATTGTTTATCGACCCAGCCCTTCTCTGGCCGCCTGTCATGGCATAATTTGTTCTACCAGAATCTAATAATAAATCCAAAATATTTGAAAACTTCTGCCACAATGGTTTCTGAAAGAAGATGTGAACACAGCAGATCTATCAACAGCTATACCTTTTATATATCAAACAAAAAAAAGATGACTAACAGAGGTTAAGTGCAAAAATCACAAACAGCATCGTTTAGACAGGGTGTCTGCAGGGTCCTAAAATGTTTTAAATCTCAAATAAAATTTCAAACTTAAGCCTTAAAAAATCTTAAATTCACTAAAATATTGTGTTGTTGGTCTTAAATAATTTTAAACAAGTCCTAATGTTCCCATGTCCCTGTAAGGTTACCCAATCTGGCCAACACCCATTCAATCACTGACCAACTTTAGGTTTTATTCATTAACTTTGTTTGTTTATTAATAAGTTTTAATTATCGTCCATAAAATAACATGCATTAAAAGTGGTGTTTAAAGCTACCTGGTGAGAATAATGGTCTTCACAGACTATGACATTTAATTTATTGTAGTTTTTAAACCATTTTTAAAGTAAAAAGTTTGCTTTATTTGCTAGTATTTAAAATATATGGATACAAAATAACTAAATTTCTGTTTAGCTCTGTGCAAGTCAGAAATTCAATTCACAATGGTCTTTACAAGGTCTTAAAAAAGTCTCAAATTTGAGTTTGTTAAACCTGCAGAAACACTATTGTGTAAATACTGAAAAGAAAGACAATATATACTTAGCAAAAGCAGCATTCACACCATCTTGTTGTCCTACCAGGGCTGGGTGATATTGCAAAAATCTGATATTGCAATATTTAATTTTTCTGCAATGAAACAGTTTCAGAAGAGAGTTTGAATAGTTCTATTTGAAGGTTATCTATCAGTATTCAGGTATAGAAGTTGAATGATGGCAATACATAACTGTTTTTCTTACTTTTTCTTGTCTCGTTTCCTGTCAAAATATCAACAAGCAAAACTATCTACCAGTGGAGTAAGGGAAATAATCTTGTTTTCGCTTTGAAATGTTGACATTCTGACTAGAAACAAGACAACATTTTTGCATAAATCATATGAATTTAATATAAAAATAGTGATAAAATACAGTCTTATAGCTCTTGTTCAAATGTAATTTAGACTCAACATGGCATATCTTTGCAATGTGACAATTGCGGATGTGCACATTGCGATATCCATGCTCAAACAATATATTGTGCAGCTCTACTATTTACTTACATTTTTTAATGATAACAGAATTTTGCATGTATGAACCCCCTAATCATTTTACATTGTAAATTATTTTATATGATTTGTTAAAACGATTTTAATCCAAGGGTTTCACTTCTGATTTGTCATATAAACGTTTTTATACAAACTAATAATAAAAAATGAAAAAAAAACATCATTTTTATTATACTGTAAATATGTCCGAAACAAGTATCAAATAAAATATTATCTTTTCTGTCTAGATACTACTGCCTGGCATCTGCATCTGCCCTTCTGAAATACTTTGAGTTTGTCCAAAAATCAATATATGCTCCAAAGTCATTGAAAGTGACATTTAGTGGCAGTGAGCAGACCGCCATGATCGATGCAGTTTCAGCCAGCAACCTGGAGCTAGTGGTCAACCACAGAAATCACAGGTGAGAAAACAAAACACAAAGCACATTAATTTCTGCAGATTTATTTAGTTGAAATCTCATAACAGAATTTGGACACCTATTGTAATGTGAAGTAGACGCTGACCACAGGGGTGCTGATCCAAACGCAGGGTTTATTGAACAGAGTTGGTCAGGCAAGCAATGATCAACACAGGGGCAAAATGATGTATATTTGCAATCCAGAGTCATAGTCAAATAAACAGGCAGATGGTCAGAAGGCAGGCAGCAGACAGGAATAAACAGATAAACAAAGCGAGGATCAAAACAAGGCAAAGCAAGACAAAATAAATGCGTTGTAATGTCACAAATACAGTAAACAAGACTCAGCAATGAGTGTCTCAAAGTGAAACTTGTACATGTGTGTGTAATCAGTACTTGAGCAGCAATATCTGTAGCTGCGTCCCAAATTGCATACTTATGCACTATTCTACGCCATTTTTTAGTATAAATAGTGTAAGTAGTGCGTTCACACTGAAAACCTTAAAAATAATAAGTGCACTTTAATTACCCGGATGATGCACTCATTCAGCCGCTAAAATGAAGTGTGTAATGATGGACACTTCACGCACTCAACGACTGCAGGTTTGCCTACGTAGCAGAAGAGGCGGAGCTATCGGACGCACATGTTGGATAACTTTATTTATTTTGGATGGTGAAAGCAAAATTCTCCTATGAGAGTGATTATAGAGCCTCCCGGTGGTGAATGCGGCAATACTCACGGCAGGTATTATTTGATAATTTGGTCGTTTATTTTACTGATTTGGCAACCGTCAAACGTCATTAGGGAAACAGTTTGAATTTCTGCTTAGTAAAAAAACATAAGTGTGCCATTTGAGAAGACACTACATACACATACTATCCTGTTGAGTGTGTAAGTGCATAAGTACATAGTGCATGAGTGCATAGTGTATAGTGTGCCATTTGGGACGCAGCTTGGGTGTTTGCAATCAGTCAGGATCAGGAACCGGTTGTGCGTGTGGTACATGACTTGGTCTTGTAGTCTATTTAATGCTGTATTTGTAGTTCTATGCAATGTGAATGTTCTCCAGTGATCCACTTATCATCCAGAAAGATCCACACATTGCTTCAATTTTCATCTCTATTTCTCATAGGCCCTGTTTATACCAGGCGTAAGAAGGTGTGATCATACTGGAAAATTACACCAAACATCTTAACACCTAGTGTAAACGGCCACTTTTTACCATATTTAGTTACAATTCCAAATAAATAAAAATTCAATGTTGTAAGAGACAAATTTTAATTAGTTGAAAAATATTTAATGTCCTTTTTTCTGCTCTTCAGTATCTTTACTTTGCAGTCGGGATTTAAATGCATCCGAATGTCAGCAACCATATGCTGTTATATTTGCAGAAGTGAACACACTCTATTTGGAGTCCTAAATCATACTAAAACTTCTGGTGGTGAGCGGCGGTTGCGCTCTAATATTCTCGAGCCCCTGCTGGAGGTGGACACTATAAAGTCACGTCAGGACACTATACAGGTGATCTTTTTTTTCAGTCTAAAATTTTCACACACTTGTTCTGCCATTAATTGATCTCTTTTTTCATTTTCCAGGAGCTTTTGCAGAACGAGGAGCTCTTCTTCAGTCTGAAGAATGGTAATGTTACTCTACACTACCTGAGAAATATCTTGTCATTGACCGCAGTTGTAAGAGCAACAAATAATAACTTGGCTTTTAGTTGATCATTTGGAAAAGTGACAGAAGGTAGATTTTTCTGATGAATCATCTGTTGAACTGCATCCCAATCATCACAAATACTGTAGAAGACCTATTTAAACCTGCATAGACCCAAGATTCTAACAAAAATCAGTTTGGTGAAGGAAAAATCAGGGTTTGGGGTTTCGTTCAGTATGGGGGCATGTGAGAGATCTGCAGAGTGGATGGCAACATCAACAGCCTGAGACATTTGTGCTGCCCTCTACATTACAAGCCACAGAAGAGGGTTTCTTCACAAATTCTTTCACAAATTCTTCAGCAGGATAGCGCTCCTTCTCATACTTCAGCCTCCACATCAAAGTTCCTAAAAGCAAAGTAGGTAAAGGTGCTCCAGGATTGGCCAGCCCAGTCACCAGACATGAACATTATTGAGCATGTCTGGGGTAAGATGTAGGAGGAGGCATTGAAGATGAAACCAAAGAATCTAGATGAACTCTGGAAGTCCTGCAAGAATGCTTTCTTTGCCATTCCAGATGACTTTATTAATAAGTTATTTGAGTCATTGCAGAGATGTATGGATGCAGTCCTTCTAGCTCATGGAAGTCATACATAATATTAATTATTTTCCCACTGCACCATGATTTTATATTCTATTCTGTGAATTATTTTTGTTAAGTGACAAGAATTTTATCTAAGCAAAGTTAGACCTTACTGTCCTAATTTTTAATAATTAAAAATCAAGGCATGATCATATTTTATTTTGGTAAAATAAGCATAATCTAGAGGCCTTTGTCTTTCATATAAGCCACTTCTGATGATCAAATGATCAACTGAAAGTCAAGTTAATTTTTGTTGTTCCTAAAACTTGAATAGGCGACAAGACTTTTGACAAGTAGTGTAGATAAAGAATTAGCTTTTTTGGAACTTTTGTTTCAAGCTGTTCTGCTCAATTCACACTTTGATGCCTGCAATTTATCATCTTTAAATGTTCACTGGGTTTTTACTGCATCGCATTCATAAACAGCATGTATGTGGATTGCAACAGCGGGATGATGTTGTGATTTACACTCTAATGGTGTTTGAACGGTAACATAAAATGCTTGTAAAGAGTGACCCACTGGGACAATATTCTTTACATAAGGAGGGAGGCCTAAAGGTATAGATTCAGTCATTTGGTAACACTTTACAATAAGAGTACATGAACAATTATGTATTAATAATTTGTGATGAGTTAAGGCGCTGTAATGAGTTATTATGTGATGAGTTAAGGCGCTCACTAATCACTAACAGCTGCCTTACTTACTTGTTAGTATATGTTGTTAATATATTACTTAACATTTAAGTTAAAGCCAAATATAACCAACATAAGCTCAACAGCTGTTATTGTATAGTTATATCATGACTTTACTTGATGGGGCACATCTTCATTAACTCATCCTTAGCTACTCATGAACTCCTGTTTGAATTGATCATGTTGATGTCGACAGAACACTTTTTTATTGTTATTCAGTGTAAACCCACTAGACGGACATGCATAAGGTGTTTTTTAGTAGTTAAGAATGGATTAATGATGATGTGCCCCTCCAAGTAAAGTCACGATATAATTATACGTTAACATATCATGAGTTCATCATGGTTAAATTAAGTATAAACGATTGTGGTAATTAATACATTTGTTAACAAACAAGCATATGCTAACAAGTAATTAGGCAGCCGTTATTCACAAATTAACTCATGTGGGATATGCGCATACATTATCTTATCATTAGTCCATAATGAAGTAATGTTTAGTTTGCATATTAATACATTATTATGGATGTACTGTTATTGTAAAGTGCAACCAGTCATTTTGTTGAACAGAAATGTTGTAACTTGGGATTAGCTGAGTGAGTAGCTTGCTCAGATATTTAAATTAAATTAAGTTCAATTTTATTTTATTATTTTAGCCTATTTAGAAATGGGCTTCTTAAAAAAGTTGTTCCTTTACAAATACAAATGTAAATTAAAAGCAGACATTAACAGAAAACTGTTAATGTGTGAACCAAAATAGGTCTTACGTGTTGTGCAATTTAATGATGATCTCAGTAGCTCTTAAGCACCTGGATCACATCTACCCGGAACTGCACCCACAATCATAACATATCAATCAGATGTCTTAATGTTTGGCTCATGGCTCCACACCATGGCGGGACATTACTGATGTTGTCTTTTATTCACAGCCATTGCACACTTCCTGGATATAGATGAGCTGCTGTCTGCTCTTGTTCAGATCCCAAAGCAAGAGACGGTAGGCACACTTTATTTCTAAACATTGCTTTCTTTAGAGAGCAAAGAAGTTTGTCATTGATTCAACCTTTTCTTTTAGAATGCTTCCTTTATGATCTAGAACAGGGGTGTCAAACTCAATTCCTGGAGGGCCGAAGCACTGCACAGTTTAGTTCCAACCCTGCTCCAACACACTTACCTGCAGGTTTCAAACAAGCCTTAAGGACTCAATTAGTTTGATCAGGTGTGTTTTATTAGGGTTGGAACTAAACTGTGCAGAGCTGCGGCCCTTTTGGAACTGAGTTTGACACCTGTGATCTAGAATATCATTCGTGAGAGAATATTTTTGGGTTGTCCAAAAAGGGTAAAATTTTATTTGTTCACTGGTTTTAATCAAGCCAAAAAGGTTATTTAAAATCACTGAACGAACCTTTGATAGTATCAAAATAAATGTATTATCATTAGTAAAAGAGGAAAAATAGCTTAACATATTTAAACAAACATTTTAGCATTTCGGTGGCATAGCGGCTCGGTGGTTAGCATTGTAAACAAGGCACTAAACCAGAGGAAAATGAATGAATGAATGAATGAATCTTAGCATATTGAAAATCTAAAGTAACATGCGAAAGATTTATCTTGTTAATTCAAGCTGTCTTTTTTTCAATCATCCTCATTTCATGTAGTGCTTAATAGCTTAGAGTTTTATTTGTGATAAGCAAAGATTTTTGTGGTTTGCCTTTTAGATTGCAGTGGCTGAAGCAAAAATAACACAAGTTATTCAGCTGAAGCACATCGTGGAACTGGTCCCATCGCTCAAGGTGTCTTTTGTCTATACATTTTTGATCAATTTTATCAAACAACAGTTACACATAAATCCATGACCTGACTAATGACTCATTTGTTTTTACTATATTTTCAACTGCCAATAATGTAAATTCAACATTAAAGGTCCCGTGAAGTGCTTTGAAATGTGCATTTTTATTCAGTGTTTGACGTAATCTCAACTGAAACACGAATGGCCCTATCATACACCCTGTGCTATTGTTGTTTTCCACCACATTGTTTAAATAGCAAATCCATTGCTATACAAAGCAGGGTTAAAGTCCAGCGCAGAGCGTGTTAGTTGTGCTCATTAGACGCATACGTATTGCTTAAAACAATACGCAAATATCTTCACAATTGAAAAAGAATTAAAAGATTAAAATATTACAAAAATGGTCACTTTCTACATAAATATAAAAACCACTACCTCCTCTCGGGGGCATTTTTCAGTTAATTCACGACAACTTGCTTTTAGTATAATGTTATTATTATTACTAGTAATATTATTTATTATATGCATATTTATATTTGTTTTATTAAAAACAAACTTAGATTTGTCCACCTGTTAGGTTTTGGACCATATGGGGCGTAGGACGTGTGTTTGGATATAACTAGTTTTTTGACCACACTTCATTGTTATTGCTTGTTTATTCATTTGCTGGAAATCAGAATGCGCTTTTTTCCACTTACAAAGTCCGCCATGTAGATAGCAAATGCACCATGGTGCAACGCAACTGACTCTTGAAGGGAATAGGAGAGGAGACTCTGATTGGTTTATTCTCAAAATACACCCATATCTCATTAAGAGAATAAGCACAACCCGGTTAGACCATGATCTGCAGTGCAGAGCGTATTTTTCCGTCCTTAAATTAGCAAAAGAGGATTCAGAAACGCCCTTAATGGTTTTGAGCCCTGCGCTTTAGACTTTGCGCATAGATCGTAAAAGTTGTAAGATTGTAAAGCGTCTTGAAGGGGCGGGGCATGTCAGAGCATTTGATTGGTCAAGATTTGATGAGAAACTGAGGTGACGTGAAAAAAAACATTTATCCATTTAGGCGGATGTGACAAATGACAAGCTTTACAAGTTTATAGCAGTTATATCTTTTAAACATGAATTTTGTCATTGTTTTGGAGCACACTAGCTAATAGATATCCTAAACACTAACAATACTAATTTTAACATCTAAAAAATTTTAAGAAATGAAATTAATTTTAATTTCATGGGACTTTTAACTGACCTGATTTACTATTGTTTTTGTTATTTTGGAAAATCATGATTTTAAAAATAGCATAAGCTTTGTAACAATATCAGTGTTACAGTTATTTACTGATTGTATTTTCTGACTTGCTCGAGAAAGCCTAAAAAAAGGCACAGCTGCAAGGATACCACATAACAGTAATTACATTTCTCCTTGATTAGGTGATGCTGCAACATTCTACAACGCACTTGCTGACAGCGTACTGTAAATCACTTGAAGACTGCAGGTAATCATATTCATGCTGTCAGCTCTGTGAAGTATATACAGTATTTGCAAATCTGCACACATCCGCACTGACCATGTTAGTTTAATATGAAGCATCAGCTTGCTCTGTAAGCAGAGATAATAAGAATGTTTTGTACATAGAAATAAAACAGTGGACATAGGATTGTGCATATAGAAATAAAACAGCTCATACTTTCATATACAGTTAAAGTCAAAATTATGAGAATATTCTGTGAGTATTTCTTTTTCAAATATTTCCCAAATGATGTTTAACAGATTAGGGAATTTTTCACAGTATTTCCTATAATATTTTTTCTTCTAGAGAAAGTCTTATTTGTTTTATTTTAACTGGAACTAAGCAGTTTTAAATTTCTTAAAACCATTTTAAGGTAAAATTATTAGCCCCTTTAAGCTAAATCTTTTTTTAATTTCTACAGAACAAACCATCATTATACAATGACTTGCCTAATTAACTTTAACTTGCCTAATTAACCTAGCTAAGCCTTTAAATGTCACTTTAAGCTAAATACCAGTGTCTTGAAAGATATAGTAAAATATTATTTACTGTCATCATGGCAAATGTAAAAGAATCCAGTTATTAGAAATTAGTTATTAAACGTATTATGTTTAGAAATTTGTTCTTTCTGTTCAGCAGAAATTGGGGGAAAAATATATAGGGGGGCTAAAGATTCAGGGGGCTAAGAATTCAACTGTACAGTATGTATACAGTCCACCATGTTTATTGTTTCTTATTCGTGTTGATTTAGGTTTAACAGCATTCTGGATCATATCAAATCTCTGATTAATGATGACACCAGCTACATGAAAGGCAGTTTGACCATGCGCACGCAGAAGTGCTACGCTGTGCGACCCAACGTCAGTGAATTTCTGGACATTGCACGAAGAGCTTACACCGAGGTGGTAGATGACATTGCAGGTGAGCCCTCTAAAGTACACTTATGTGTACAGTTACATAATATGTAGGTGATGTCTATACATGTGTACATGTTCAATTGTGTGTATTAGGTGAATGGATGTGCAGGTTATTGTTGAAGGGATAGTTCACCAAAAAATGAAATCTCTACCAAAAACCAGTTTCAGTTTCACTCTTCTGTTGAAGATGTTATTTTGAACATTGACTTCCATATTAATTGTTTTTCTACAATGGAACTCAGTGGGTACCATCAACCAGCATTTTTAAAATAACCTCTTTTTTGTTCAAGTAAATGGTGAGATACTTTTTTATTTTTGGGTAAACTATCCTTTTAAATGGCAATTCATCAGCTTTAACTACTCCAGATTGCACAATTTTCCAAGGTAGGAGGAAGTATTACTGATATCTCTGCCTGGTCTACAAACATTTCATAATAACATAAAGGAGAAGTGATACAAGAAACTACGCAAGTTCACGCTTAAGACATGCAAGATTTCATTTACTCATTAAAAGGGAAAAATTGAAGAAAGAAGAACTTTTATTAAAGTAAAACTTGCTGACTCTGACTCCTCCCCCTGATCTTCCTACTTCATCATGTGTTGTAGGTTGCAAATATAATTTCCAGCCAAAACACATTGAGTCACAGTCAGAACCATATAATCAGCATTTTCATCTCTCAAAAAGGGTTGTTTAAATTACACTATTGTCACTAATAATCTGAATGACCACCAGCTTATCATGAATCGGTCTGCTATTTACACATAACTATTAGTAAGGAAAAATCTGATTCAAAACTACTTTCATGATGACCTGGTTTGCCAAATGCCACAATAAGTTTTGCGGTTTATATAGTAAAACTTTTCATATTCCAGCCTGTTGACAACATGTTATTTATGAACTTCAGCATTATTGTTGTGTTGTGCTGATCAGGATTAGTGGCTCAGCTTGGAGAGAAGCACAACCTTCCGCTCCGGACAAGTTTCAGCAATGCACGTGGCTTTTTTATTCAGATGAAGCTGGAGGGGGGAGCCTTGCCTGGTGGGAAATTACCAGACGAGTTCATCAAAGTGAGCCAAAGTCTTTACAATCCTTAATAAGTGTTCAATATATTATATATACTGTACAGTTTTTTTCAATTGCTTCGGTGTATTTCTGACAACAATATTTACATTTGCACAACAGTTAATGCATTTCTCAAAACAATAAGTAATTTGTGCACATCATAAAACCAGTTTCTCATTCTTTCCAGCAAATTGTAAATGCTTTTGGACATGCATCAATTGCTTTCATACAACTCCCTGCAGTTTTCTAACGTTATCAATTGCTTCTGTCATGTCAGTCAAAATTACCTAAACTTGTGAATGCTGAATAGTCATTCCATATAAAGCTAATAGTCCTCATTTCATTACTTGAGTCATTACATACAAAAATGTTGAACTAGTTTTCAAAATCTATCAAGCTAATTTTATTCAAACAAATTTTTATCTTTTTTCCCCTAAAAATGTCTTCTAAATTGAACAATTTCCTGAATGATTTACAGACCTATGTATATTTTAGGTTCAGTTCCAATATGTTCTGCAATATTGTTTACAGTTGTGCACAGCTCTACCCAAAGGAAGTTTATGTTTGTTGTAAATAAGGCTGAATTTATTCTTTTGCACAATACTGTGAATAAATTAGAATTGCAAAGAGCAAATGCAACAGAAATGTGAAACATACATATCCAGTCTTGTACTCAGACACCTCACTAAATGCAGTGATGTCTAATTCTACTGTAGTTTTCAAATGGCTGTGCAAACAGTACTGTATATGTTGCTGTCTTGAGAATTTTCAGGAAGTGTCAAAAAATCTGACTTTTTTTGCATTGGAAAAAATCTACGGAGTAAACTGTCATAATGAAAACATGACAAAACCATTTGACTATCTTGTTCATAAACAATGGTGTCAGGACTTTTCATCTGACACTGACAATTTCACTGACATCAATACTTGCTTTTGAGGAATGAACTATCCATTTTGAGCATGTGAGGCACTTTTGCAGGTTACCAGCTAGGTTTTGCAGTTTGTACTAATTGTTTTGAGAAACACATTAACTGTTGTGCAGAAATGCACTAGTGTTGTGAGAAACTCACCAAAGCGACTGAGAAAAACTGTAAACACACCCTTATTTACAACAAACATAACATTTATTTGGGCAGAGCTATGCACAACTGTAAACATGTTGCAACTGAACCTAAAACATACACAGGTTTGTAAATCATTCATCAAATTGTTAAATTTTGAAGTCATTTTCAGGAAAATAAAGATTTACATTTTTTGATAAGATTTGCTGGACTGATTTTGACAACTAGTTCAACATTTTTGTATGTAATGACTCAAGTAATGAAATGAGGACTATTATTTTTATATGGAATGACTATTCAGCATTCACAAGTTTAGTTAATTTTGACTGTCATGACATTAGCAAATGATAATGATATAAAACAGCAGAGAGTTGTATGAAAGCAATTGATGCATGTCCAAAAGCATCTGCAATGTGTTGGAAGGAATGAGAAACTGCTACTATGATGTGCACAAATGACATATTGTTTTAAGAAATGCATTAACTGTTGTGCAAATGTATATAGTGTGGTGAGAAATACACCAAAGCGACTGAGAAAAACTGTAATTGTTTTGAGAAATGCATTAACTGCTGTGCAAATGTAAATAATAATGTTGTGAGAATTGCACCAAAGCGACTAACAAAAAACTGTAAATACATTGTCTATGTTGACAGACAGACAGACAGACAGACAGACAGACAGACAGACAGACAGACAGACAGACAGACAGACAGACAGACAGACAGACAGACAGACAGACAGACAGACAGACAGACAGACAGACAGACAGATAGATAGATAGATAGATAGATAGATAGATAGATAGATAGATAGATAGATAGATAGATAGATAGATAGATAGATAGATAGATTAATTACTCTAAGTAAAACAAATTGGGTTGAGCAACATTTTAGTTTTTCAATTTTATGATGATCCATTCAAGATACAGTTTAAGTCAGAATTATTCGCCCCCTGAATTATTCGTCCCCCAGTTTATTTTTCCCCCGATTTCTGTGTTACGGAGAGAAGATTTTTTCAACACATTTCTAAACATAATAGTTTTAATAACTCCTCTCTAATAACTGATTTATTTTATCTTTGCCACGATAACAGTAAATAATAGTTTGCTAGATATTTTTCAAGACACTTCTGTACAGCTTAAAGTGACATTTAATGGCTTAACTAGATTAATTAGGTTAACTTGGCAGGTTAAGGTAATTAGGCAGGTTATTGTATAACGATGGTTTGTTCTGTACACTATCGAAAAAAAAAATTTGCTTAAAGGCTTAAATTAGCCTTAATTAGCTTTAAAAAAAATTTAAAAACTGCTTTTATTGTGGTCGACATAAAACAAATAAGACAAATCTTCTTCAGAAGAAAAAATATTATCAGACATACAGTGAAAATTATTTTGCTCTGTTCAACATAATTTGGGAAATATTTAAAAAAGAACAAAAATTCAAAGGATATATATATATATATATATATATATATATATATATATATATATATATATATATATATATATATATATATATAATTTCAATAACTCATTTCTAATATTTTACTAGATATTTTTCAAGACACTTCTATACAGCTTAAAGTGACATTTAAAGGCTTAACTAGGTTAATTAAGCTAACTAGGCAGGTTAGGGGAATTAGGCAAGTTATTGTATAACAGTGGTTTGTTCTGTAGATTATCGAGTAAAAATATAGCTTAAAGGGGTTAATAATTTTGTCACTAAAATGGTTCATAAAAAATTCAAAACTGCTTATATTCTAGCCAAAATAAAACAAATAAGACTTTCTCGAGAAGAAAAAATATTATCAGACATACTCTGAAAATGTCCTTGCTCTGTTAAACATCATTTGGAAAATATTTAAAAAAGAAGAAAAAAAATCGAAATGGGCTGATAATTCTGACTTCAACTGTATATATAAAATAAAGAGAATAATATAATATAATGTATAAACAGGAATGCATAAGGAGCAGAAAAAGGGAAAGGATCAGCATAGGACCTTGAGGCGGGAATCAATCTCGGGTTGGCGTAAACACTGAAGTGCCATGTGTCGATGCACTAACCACTACACCATTGGCGCCAACATCAGCATATAATGATCCCAAGTTTTGTTCTTTATTTTAATTTTGAAATACTGTAGGTCCCATTTTATTGGTCAAAACTGACTATCCATTGAAATGAATGGAAAAGATTGAGAACAAGAGTATATGTTTTAGTTGGCTTTAGTTGATTATTAAACAATATATTTTTTTAGTAAAATCATGTTAAAAGGTATAAACATCAAATATGATACATCAGGCCTTTTAGTAATTTTTATTTGCATGTTTATATCTCATCATTGCATTACATTACATTATATGTTCTGTAAAATAACAGCTACAGAGATTTAATCATAAAAATAAACATTTAAATTTTATTAACAGATAATTGGGATATATAAACTTAAAATTGATATTATATATTTTGTTATTAAATTATAAATCCCAATATATATATATAAATAACATCCACACCAAATAAAATGATTTAACCATTCTATAAAACTGAGATGTTTATGGTTCACTGTCAAATATAAAAAATAAATAAATAAAAAATTCTGACTATTATCATATATGTCTGACTTTGGACTCAACATTACAGGTTTCTAAACAAAAGAACAACTTCAGCTTCACCACTTTAGACCTCATGAAAATGAACGACCACTGTGAAGAGGCCCTAAAAGACATTTTCCACATGTCTTATGTGTGAGTATACTAGTTTAGACCAAAGTAAGACTACTTCAAGGATAAAAAATGTACCATAATAGCCATACATGATGTGTACTTATCATATTTAGGGTGGTTTCCAAGCTACTGAATGAAGTCCATGAACAAATCCACTGCCTGTACAAACTGTCTGATGTTGTTTCAATGCTGGACATGCTGCTCTCTTTGGCTAATGCTTGCACCATCTCAAATTACGGTAATGTATAATGTTTAAGGGGCCGAATGGTCATAATATAGATTATTACATTCATAAGAGTGTATTTAGTCTGCTTTATCAGATATTAGTGCAATTGATTTCCTTGAAATGTTTATATAATAAATAGGATATTTGTTTCCTGCAGTGCGTCCTGAATTCACAGATACTTTGGCAATACAGCAGGGTCGCCACCCCGTCCTGGAGCGCATTTCTGGGCAACAGCCCATCTCTAACAACAGCTACATCTCAGAGGGAAGCAATTTTGTGATCATAACAGGCCCAAACATGAGTGGCAAGTCCACTTTTTTGAAACAGGTGGCCCTTGTCCAGATAATGGCTCAGATAGGTACACAATTTATATATATATATAAATATATATATATATATTTTTTTTTTTTATATATATACAATACAGAACAATAATTTAACAGAAACAAACATGCTAACATATACATACATACACATATATCAGTATGCACATACATAATTACCTACAGTATATACAGTTGAGGTCGGAATTATTAGCCCCCTGTTTATTTTTTTCACCAATTTCTGTTTAATGGAGAGCAGATATTTTTTAACACATTTCTAATAACTGATTTATTTTATCATTGCCATGATGACAGTACATAATCTTTTACTAGATCCTAAAGGATATCCACCAGTGCTGATATACAGCCATATCGCACTGCTACTCGTGTGATATTGCGTTTATACAAGTTTGACGACATAATTGTGTATATAAAAACAAAATCAAACATGGAGAGTCTCAAAACCCCATTTGTATGAGGAACTACTTTCTTCCGCCTTGGATTAAAATCATAGACTGACAGTTAAACAGCTGTTAAAACAGTTAAAACTTAAAAAAAAACTTAAACTTTAGATCTGTAGTGTCTGCTTTTTGCTGGCTGTATGTGTGCGAAGTAATACACAAACTGTAAAGAGGCTGTAGGAGTTCTGAGATTGCAGAATATTGCACGGCTTTTAGCCAATTAGATTTGAGAACCAGACATAACTGTTGTGTGTGTGTGTATGTATATATATATATATATATGTATATATATGTATATATATATATATATCCTTAAATTTGAATTCTTTTTCATTTGTAAAGATATTTGCATATTGCTCTACATCTTGTGTGTATTAAGCAATGTGTAAGCCAGGCGAACATCTAGCGCACTCTGTGCTGGACAATAGACTGGTTTTGTTCTGGTCTATAAAAAATCTATAATAGTTTATCAAAATAGCAACGTGCCAGCAATACACCCTTACATGCCTTTCTTTTTAGACCAGAACACCTATGGGCGCACATATGAGCGCAAATGCATTTGCTATTTAAACAGTATGGGGCAAAAAGTCAAAAAGACTCTTGCGCTGAGCTGAAACTAGTAAACAACAATTGCGTCGCGCCTTGCGCCACATTGCGCCGGGTATATGATAGGGCCCTAAATGTCACTTTGAGTTCTAGTATACTGAAAAATATCTAGTAAAATATTAGGTACTATCATCATGGCAAATATAAAATAATTTAATTATTAGAAATGAGTTTTTAAAACTATTATGTTTAGAAATGTGTTGAAGAAATCTTCTGTTAAACAGAAATTGGGGGAAAAATATTGTAAAAATTAATTTTAAGGGCTAATAATTGTGACTGCAACTGTACATGCACATATTTTTGTAACAAAAAGTTGATTAATGAAGAGGAAATTACTCTTTATGTCACTGACATAATGTAAGAGGTTGTGTGTGGTGATGAGTAGGTTTGGGGTAAATTTTAGGATCATGTGCTTTGTGCATGATTTAGCAGCTGTCTCTAAATCCTGCAGGATCCAAATACACTTCTTTACACATTCTTCTTTGTACTAGGATGTTTTGTGCCTGCGGAGTACGCCTCTGTTCGTATTGCGGATCAGATATTCACAAGAATAGGAGTGGACGATGACTTTGAGACCAACTCCTCTACATTTATGGTTGAGATGAAAGAGGTCAGATTTAGACAGATGCATTAAGATTATCGCACATGCAATCAGAAATATATAAATACTGTATATATTTGGCGCAGTAGGTAGTGCTGTCGCTTTACAGCAAGAAGGTAGCTGGTTCGAGCTGGTTTGGCATTTTTGTGTGGAGTTTGCATATTCTCCCTGTGTTCGCGTGGGTTTCCCCCACAAGTGCAAAGACGTGATACAGGTGAATTGGGTATGCTAAATTGTCTGTAGAGTATGTGTGTGAATGAGTGCGTATGGATGTTTCCCAGTGATAGGTTGCAGCTGGAAAGTCATCCGTTGTGTAAAAACATGCTGGATAAGTTGGCGGTTCATTCTGCTGTGGCGATCCCAGATGGGCGACGCGGTGGCGTAGTAGGTAGGGCTGTCGCCTCATAGCAAGAAGGCCCCTGGTTCGAGCTTCGGCTGGATCAGTTGGCGATTCTGTGTGGAGTTTGCATGTTCTTCCCTTTTTTGCGTGGGTTTCCTCCGGTTGCTTCGGTTTTCCCACAAATCCAAAGAAATTCGGTACAGGTAAATTGGGTTAGCTAAAATTTGCTATAGTGTATGTGTGTGAATGTAGGAGTGTATGGGTGTTTCCCAGTGATGGGTTGCAGCTGGAAAGGCATCTGCTGCATAAAACATATGCTATATAAGTTGGTGGTTCATTCCGCTGTGGCGACCCCAGATTGATAATGAGACTAAGCCAAAAAGAAAATGAATGAATATATATATATATATATATATATATATATATATATATATATATATATATATATACACACACCAACACAATGGATGCACATATGCAAACTGTTGTAACTTCTGCAGCGTTCACCTGATTTGGATGTAAATACCCTCAAATTAAAGCTGAAAGTCTGTAGTTGCAGCACACATTTCATTTCATATCCATTGTGTTGGTGTATAGAGCCAAAACTGTTAGAATTGTGTCAATGTCCCAATATTTATGGACCTGATGTATGTATATTTTTCTTTTTTTTTTTTTTTTTTTTCAAAACTGCACATTTAGGTGTCTTACATCATCCACAATGCAACCAACAGTTCTCTGATCATTATTGATGAGCTGGGTCGAGGCACCAGTCCAGAGGAGGGCATTGGCATCTGCCACAGTGTCTGTGAATTCCTCATTAATCTTAAGGTGACTTTTTTTATTTATTAACACTGTATTTACATAAAATTAAATGAAAAACTACAAAGCAAGTAAATATTCATAGTAAAAAAATTATACGTTTTATTGCACATCAACCAATCAACATAGTTAAAGGTGACCTATTATGCAAAAATACTTTTTATAAGGGGTTTAAACACAGCTGTATGGCAACAGTATATGAATTTAACCAGCTTCTAATAGCAAAAATTCATTCATCTATTTATTATAAACACTTGATAAAAACAGTTTGCAGAAACACTTTAAACGTTTTGACGCTAAAAAGTCCTGCCCATTAGTGACCATCTCTCTTTTATTTGCATAAAAAGTTAGTCTTGTTTTTCAATTTGCTGCTACGCCCCATTTGGCCCATGAAAAGGGCCAAACATAATTATGACAACCCAATATTTTTTAAATTCCCATGAGACTGCTATGGATCGTCACAGACAACAGACGTGGCAAAAAGTGGTTCTCTTTATTTACAATAGAAGTAAAGAACAAACGAACACTTAATTACGCAAAGTATATTTACAAATGTGTACATTAAACACAAAATAAGTAAACAAATCAATTGAGGGAAGGGAAATAAGTGGTGCCAAATCTAATAAAAAACAGAATAAACAGCAACTAACTAATCCCTCCTCCACCTCTAAATAGCTAAAGAGAAATATGAAAATAGAAAAAAAAACATACGGCGTCACACGCCACACTAAACTGCACTCACTAGACAAACATTCAAAAGGTAGCACCCCCTTCTGACCTTATAGATTGACAGAGAATGCAAGTCACATGACATACTTCACTTTCACTTCCCTTTTAGTAGATTTAAGCAGATTTAGCATGGACGTTCTGAATAGATGTACAACTCAAGAAAACTAAAGTGAACCAGAGAACAGGACAGGCACATAAATGTCACACAGAAAACCAGAGCAGTGACAAGAGACAAGGATCCCCCATCTGGTCCGAGTCTTCATTAGAGCGCTTAAATGACCCCCATCTTCTTCTGATTGGTCCTCTCGTGAAAACTTTGCTTGCCAATTGAAACACCTAGATTTAAGACGAACAGCAGACGGCAAATAAAAACGGAAAGGGGAGGAGGGGACATCAGAGCATCACCCCAGGCATGTAACACACAGGCTCTTGTAGCTCCGCCCTCTTTTGAAAAGTGTTCTCATTTGAATTTAAAGCAACAGTAACTAAAATGGCACAATAAAGATCAAAGTCTTAAAGGGTTAGGTTTAAAGAGTTTTAAAACATTATTTGTGGGGTATTTTAAGCTAAAACTCCACGTTTCCCTTTTCTAGGGACATCCGAGACTTATTTGACTTATTTTATCTTGTAAAAACAGGCATAATACTGTAGGTCACCTTTTATATTTATATTATTATATTTTCTTCACCCTAAAATATATTTAGAAATATATTTATTTTTAATGTGTTTTATTGTACAACACAGATGCAACATATTTAACATATATTTAATATATATTTTTTACCATATGGGTACAGTGCTTTATTTATTTGTTTATTATTTCACATGTTTAAAACTTTACCAAAATAGATTAAATTCATTATTTTGCATCTAATTAAAACAATACCTCATAATGACAATATGAATGAAGTTTGTTTAAAAAAAAAAAACATTGTCCTGCAGGCCTTCACACTCTTTGCCACACACTTTCTTGAGCTGTGCCAGTTGCAAACTCTTTACCCCAACGTGGAGAACCAGCACATGCAGGTGCAGCACATCCGCACAGGAGATGGAAGAGCTGAGAGGGTCGTCTACACCTACCAGCTCAGCCGAGGACATTCAGAGGAGCGCAACTACGGTGTCATCATTGTTACACGTTTTAAACAACCTATTCTATGGTTGCACAATGGTTGAAATCCAATCATATGTATGTTGAATGTCCTATATACAGTTAAAGTCAGAATTATTTGCCCCCCCCCCCCCTTTATTTATTTATTTTTTTTAATATTTCCCAAATGAAGTTTAACAGAGCAAGGACATTTTAACAGTATCACTGATAATATTTTTTTCTTCAAGAGAAAGTCTTATTTGTTTTATTTTGGCTAGAATAAAAGCAGTTTTTAATTTTTAAAAACCATTTTACGGTCAAAATTATTGTCCCCATTAAGTTATTTATATTTTTTCGATAGTCGACAGAAGAAACCAACATTATTCAATAACTTGCCTAATTACCCTAACCTGCCTAGTTAACCTTATTAACTTACTTAAGCCTTTAAATGTCACTTTAAGCTGTATTGAAGTGTCTTAAAATTTATAGTAAAATATTATTTACTGTCATCATGGCAACGATAAAAGAAATGAGTTATTAAAAATGAGTTATTAAAACTATTATGTTTATAAATGTGTTATAAAAATCTTCTCGTCGTTAAACAGAAATTGGGGGAAAAAATAAACAGAAGCGTGAATAATTCAGGCGGCTAATAATTCTTACTTCAACTGTACATAAGTGACATCAACACATTTTCTGCTGTTTGTTTAGGCATAAGGGCAGCAGAGATGACCAATCTACCACTAGACATCATTCAGGAGGCTAAAACTGTTGCAGATAAAATCAACCAAAAGCTCTGGGTTTGTTTCTTTTGATGACAGATGATTAAAACATTCTAGCTGTGCAGACCTCATATAAAGCTATTGACCCTGTTTCAATCATTCTGACCACAGGCTAAGCATCATAGTGATCCTGCCACTCTTAAACAGAGAGCAGACTATCGTCTAGCCACCCGACTGGTGCAGACCGCCCGTAACTCACAGCTGGACCGTGCGAGCCTACGTCACTACTTGAAAGGACTGAAAACACAATATCTGGCTGAGATTCAGATGATAAAAGAAAATGCTACAGAGTTGGTAGAGATTGAGGAGTGAGGTCTGTGATGGTGAAACAAAAGGATAAAATACACATTTGGAAAAACAAAAAAAGTTATTATAAACCTGTTTGAATTTCTTTCTTTTGATGAACAGAAAAGAGGATATTCTGAAGAATGTTGGACACCAGTAACCTTTGACTTCCATAGTATTCTTTTTTTCTAATATGGATGCCAATGGCTACCAGTTTTCAAACATTTTTCAAAATATCTTCTTTTTAGTTTAACAACAACAAATTTCTTAAAGGCGTAAGAATCCGATAAGTGTGAAAAAATTGTCATTTTGGGAAAATATAAGGAGATTAGTTTTAGATCAGTTTTAAACCATACCCACAGTGTACATAATTTGTTAATTTAATGAATTGTTGAATTGTTTATTTAATGCTGTTTTAGCATGAGACCAAAGTTAAAAGTGTATTTAATGCTTTAAAAGCATTCTCTATAGAGAAACTATAGGACATCTGTGCTTAATGAGTTCAATATAAATGTTTAAGCAAACAAACATGTTCATGCACAACACCAATGCTATTAAATGCAAATGTTGACATCCTCAATATTAAGAAGTTCTGTCTATGTATTGTAGCAGTCTATTAGACTTTGTTTTATATGCAGTATGACAATTCATTTCAACGTTTGCAATGTGTTGTTTTTTTAAGTCATTTTTAAAGAGCCTCTATTACACATTAAAAAGGGTCATATTTTGGTTTTGGGGTCTCTAGCAACAGTCTGATGTGCATGCAAGGTCAAAAATCACTTTCATTGTCTTATAATATGCATTTATTTTTACCTAATTACCCCAATGACTCTTATATAATTTGTTCAGCGATTCATGTGTTCCCAAGGCCCTCTTTAGCATGAGGCTAATATGCGCTGATGGTCTGATGACCCACCCTGTTTTGATTGGTCTGCTTTCAGTGTGAGATAGAGAGAGATGCCCAGCACGGCTTATCAACAAGTAGACAGAGTGCAGAGTGTATGTGTGAGGTCATGCTGGAGTGCATTAAAGCAAAGCAGTTTAACACCAGCATATTGCTGTATTCTTAACTAAGTAAAAACAGTGACACATATTCAGTATTAATCCACTCAGTGGCAAAAGCTGAACTATTTTGAAACTTAACCGCCGCACATGCGTTGGGACAGCTGATGACGATCATAGCAAGTAGATCGCAAGCTCACAAACACATTTAAATCCATAAACAAAGCGGCACATGGTGTATTTTCAACGGGGCTTCAGACGCGGTATGAGAATATAAAGAGTTAACCAGATACAGTACAATGGTTACAAGTAACATAACACAATTAAATACATAATTTGCAAGCTAGAGAAAACAAGGGGCAACCATTTTATTGCATTTACTTAAACTTGTAAAATGGAGGAAAAAACTGGTCCATGAACTGTGTCCTGTAAAGTTCTGACAAAGCCAACAGTCGATAATCAGAAATTAATAGTCTTTTCTGATCCTTCTTTTAACAAAGGCCAACAAATCCCTTGTTGTAAGTGTAGATTGCTGAAGCACTCATCCGAAAAATGACGGGAACACCGCACAAGACTGGGGCTATAATGCTGAGGTATTTTTCAAAAATTAACTTGAACCTCTGACTCTTCACAGCCTCATCTTTGGGTTGGGAATTAACACAACCTTTCCCTCACACTTAAGAGCACAGCGTCTTTGCGAAATGATTCATCCGGGATCTGCTACAGTGTTTATCTTCCTCTTTTTCTTTCTACAGTGTTTGTGGGTGGGTTAGGGTTTCAATTTCCCCAGGTTTGCGAAGCGCAACAAATGGCTGGGGCTTGAATTCCGTATCGACATCATGCCAGCATGCCTAAAAACTTGTTACAGTGGCGATTTATTGGAACCACTATGAGTCGACTCTTTTGATGAATCAATAGTTTTAAACACCGTGCACTTTCAAATTTAAGCCTTAGCTGGATATTTCACTTTACTTAGAGCTGTGTTGCACACTGCATAGAAGGTCATTTTCAAAAACCCATATAGGGGCTCTTTAATGCATATTTTATTGCAGTGTTTCTCAATTATGTTCCTGGAGGACCACCAGCTCAGCAAATTTGTCATGTCTCCTAAACCAAACACACATGATTCAGATCATTAGCAGAGACTGAAAGACCTGTAATGTGTGTGACAGACAAAGGAGACATTCAAAACATGCAGTGTTGGTGGTCCTCCAGGAACGTGGGTTGAGAAACACTGCTGTAATGCATTTACGTTTTGACCAGCAGGTGGCCCTAGCATGTGGTGTTTTTAAATGTTTCGAAAGTGAATAATGTTTGTAAAGCAATTGGTTTAATTGCTTCTCTCATCACTATTTGGCATTGATTAATTTGATATTGCTTCAAAACAATATATTTAAGAAATCCTCAGTGTTGCCAATACCCTAACCCATTTACAAGTAGTTGTTAGTGGTGTGGATGTTTCAGGGATTCTTCTTGTTATATTGTTACACCATGATGTGGCAACAAGTGAACATCTTTATATTAGAGTCATTAAATCATTCACTCAACTGATCAACTCATTCAGTTAATCATTCATTTATCTAATATTCATATTTAATCAACTCATATACTGATTCAAGTTGAAATATCTTGATTAATTGACAATGTTTCATTGGTTATGGATTATTTGACAATGATTCTTTCATTGATTTGCTTATTTAGACTGGTGATGCAGTGTGACTTGCAAAAAGAATCACTTATTCAATCTTACTAGCGCACTGACAAATTGAAAAGCTCACAGACAAACTTAAGGTGTAAAACTGAATTTTCCTAGGAATTTTTCAGATATTCTCACTTAATTTGATACCTTTTATATCACAACGTGTTCTGTCTATCACAGTTTACAAGGAAAGAGAATTTGGAGAAAAATAATTAAAATAACTAAAATTGTTGGAGGGAACTAAAATAAAATTTTAGTTTACATTAGATAGCATTTCAAAAGGTGAGCCAAATGCAGGGAAACAAACCAGTGTGATCATGAAATGTAGGAATAATAGAAAGACAAGATTTAACAAATATGTGTGAAACAGCATCTTTTCATTTCGCACTTCATCATACTAGGTTGCAATGTGCATCTTAAAGCATGGTTCGTAACCCTTCATTAAAAACTGAAAATTTTGTCATGGATATTTTTTACAGTTAATTTTGGAGTATCTCTTTTTTGCATCTTTTTATTAATATTTTAACTATTAATCACAAAACACATTAAAACACCAACAGACAATGCCATTTTAACAATGCAAAGCTAAAAAATATATAAATAATAATAATATTAAATTAATAAACAGAATACGTACATACATGCATAATAAAATTACAATAAATATATAATAGCATAATAGCAATGATAATAATGAGAAAAAAGAAAAAACATAACGATAAAATAATGAAATAAAATACATAAATTCAATTATGACATACCATCACTCAAAATGCAGCTTAATGAAACATCAATAAGGTCTAAGTAAGGAGTCTAGACTTCATGAAAAGCCTCAGTGGACATATGAATTACACAGGTAAGAAAATCTAAGCGAATCATTTTCCTAATAATATTGTGCTACCCTTTTAAATATGGGGGTTTATCACACTGACCCAGTTTAACAGTATATTTTTCCTGGCAGCAAAGGCTAAAATGTCAAATAAGCATTTGGTGAATTTGTCAGGCAAACGTCCAACCGGGAGACCTAAAACTAAAGATAGTGGATCCAACTGTAGCTGAAGTCCAAACATACGGCTCATAAAAGTAATTACTTTTGCCCAATAAGCTTTAATAACAGGACAATTCCATAATAAATGGGTGTAGTCTCCCACTTTCACCTTACAAATTTTGGAGTATCTCTTTAAAAAATGCTTGATGGAAATTTCAAAACTGCATGAATTTTGAAAGTGCAAATAAAGATCTTACAATCACAACTGAAAAGGATAAACAATGTATTTGATAAGACAAAATGCGCATAAACTACAATGGAAACACATTTACAGAATAAAGTCTAGGATGTAGATAAAAAATAATATGATTTTGTTTTTAACAGATCATGTCATAACAAAAACATATGCCATGAGACAGCATTAATGGACAAGCCAGCGGACAGACCACATCATTTGCCACACAACATAATTGATCTTTATTTCTATTTTGATTGCAACGTCAGGTGACCAAAATTTTATGTCAATTTGCTGTCTAGTACCGATGTCAGATGGCACCTACTACCAATGTCATCTGGCGCTGATATTTGGTTGGTTTTAGGCTGTGGCATTAACTAACTAAAATCCAACATCATTTTAACATCATGATTTGACTTCCATACAACGTCAAAGTCTAACATCAGTAGACATTTATCTTTGGTTGGTTTTATGTTGGGTAATTACTTAACTAAAATTCAACATCACTTTATTGTCATTATGTGACATCCATTAGCTAAGAGCATTAGACGTTGACCTTTGGTTGATTTTATGTTGTGTCGTGAACAAACTAAAACTTATCCTGATGTTGAGGTCTGAGCTCAAATTGACGTTGGGTTCTGACATCAACCGGATTTTCTTATCCAACCAAAATTCTAAGTTAGTCTGATGTTGGAGTCCAATATTTTACTTCTGTGACGTCTGGTGAAGGCTGGGTTGGTTCTAAAATCCCTCAGCCAAAGTCTGTCATCAAAGGGCTTTGGTATTATGAATGTCGACAGTCTCACGCCACCAGAAGCCCCTGTGCTTTCAGTGTTTTGTTTTCCTATTCTAAGGCGTTAGTAATTTATTATATAAGAAAAGGCTCGCACTTTTTCTTTTTTGCCGCTAGTTTATCAGAAAGTGACGATTTTGTTCTCTTTGACTCACTGCATGACAAATACTGTAAATACTGCAGAAGACCTATTGGAACCCACGTGGACCCAAGATTCTTGCAGAAATCAGTCAAGTTTGGTCAAGGTAAAAATCATGGATTGTGTTTGATTCAGTATGGGGGCTTGTGAGAGATCTGCAGAGTGGATGGCGACATCAACCGCCTGGGTTATCAAGACATTTGTGCTGCTCATTACATTACAAACCACAGGAGAAGGCAAATGCTTCAGCAGGATAACGCTCCTCATACTTCAGCCTCCACATCAAGGTTCCTGAAAGCAAAGAAGATCAAAGTGCTCCAGGATTGGCCATCCCAGTCAACAGATATGAACAATATTGAGCAGGGCCGGAGTGGGACTCTTTTTCAGCCCTGGAGTTTCTAGCTTCAGACCGGCCCACCTTAGTTCACCACTGACTATATTAAAATAAGGTTATTTCCAATTCAGTTTCTAATTACACTATCACGTCTTTTTTTTGAGAAAACAGCACTTTTAGAACTTCAAATGTTCAACAACCCTTACAGTATTGTCTTAACAATAAAAATGAAAAAAAAAATTGTTATTTAAATAAGGACCGAACCCAGGTTGGCCGCGTCATAATCTAACATACTAACCACTGTACCACAACAGCTGTACGTTTAACGGTGACTTATGTAGTTATATCATCATTAACCTGCATCCTGCTCACGTGGCTACGAGAAAATAGATAAAAAGAGCAGAGCTGCGGTAACATAATGAATAAGAAGGCTGTGGTCAAGTAAATAAATAAATTATTTTTAAAAAGTGTGACTGCTGAGAGCAACCAATTCTGGAACTAGGGACACCGGCCCTCGCGGCCAAAAAACGGACCGGCCCACCGGGAATTCTCCCGGTCCTCCCGATTAGCCAATCCGGGCCTGTTATTGAGCATGCCTGGGGAAGATGAAGAAGGAGGCATTGAAGATGAATGCAAAGACTCTTGAACTCTGGGAGTTCTGCAAGAACGCTTTCTTTGCCATTCCAGATCACTTAATTATTAAGTTATTTGAGTCATTTCAGAGATGTATGAGAAGTCCTCCAAGCTCATGGGAGTCATACACAATATTCATTCTGTTTCCACTGCACCAGGACTTGAAGTGACAAGACTTTTGTCTAATCAAAGTCAGACCTTACTGTCCTAATGAAAACATTAAAAATCAAAGCATGATCAAATTTTATTAAGGTAAAATAAGCATAATCTAAAGGCCTTTGCCTTTCATGTAAGCCACTTCTGATAACAAATGATCAACTAGAAGTCAAGTTATCATTTGTTGTTTCTAAAACTTGGATTGGTGACAAGCGGTTTGACAGGTAGTGTAGCTATTTACTCACACTTTACTTGCTATTTACACTCTTTACCTAACCTGTTTGACTTTCCTTCTTCTGTTGAACACAAAAAAGATATTTTGAATCTATTTGGCAGTGGCGCAGTATAGTGCTGTCGCCTCACAGCAAGAAGGTCGCTGGGTCGCTGGTTCGAAATTCGGCTCAGTTGGTGTTTCTCTGTGGAGTTTGCACGTTCTCCCTGCTTTCGCGTTTGTTTCCTCCGGGTGCTTCAGTTTCTCCCACAGTCCAAAGACATGCGGTACAGGTGAATTGGGTAGGCTAAATTGTCTGTAGTGGATGAATGTGTGTGGATTTTTCCCACAGATGGGTTGTGGCTGGAAGTGCATCCGCTGCGTAAAAACTTGCTGGATAAGTTGGCGGTTCATTCCTCTGTGGCGACCCCGCATTAATAAAGGGACTAAGCCAACAAGAAAATGAATGAATGAATCTTCTTTGGTGCTTAGTAAAAAAGCGTATATGGATTAGAAACCTCGCGAGGGTGAGTACATTTTTATTTTTGGAGGTGAATTATCCTTTTAAATCTAAAACCCACAGAGCTCTTAAAATGCCCAACCCCTTCAGCAGCAGCAGTTGCTCTCGCGAGATTTGCGCGGCTCGTCACCCCGGTCTCTCACAGGCGGAGTTCCGTCTTCCCCTTTCACAGTGCTGCTTCAGCCCACACTGACCTGAACTGTCACAGCGAAACAACCGGGCCGGAGCCGCAGTCCACCGCGCTTCCCGTTCAGGAACACCTTTGCATCCCGACAACAACAACAGTAGCAGCGAGCACACTACCGCAGGTACGTCCAGCAGCGGCTTCAGCTCGCGCTATCTGCAGTGAAGTGAAGCGTGAAAGAGTGAGTGGATGGAGCAGATCACACGGGCCTACTGCTCTGCTGCTCCGATACTCATCCACCGGTTCTCGGGCACACCTTTACTGCAGCAGGGCTTACATTTAACTGACAGAGAGCTGAGATCTCTGCTGTCCGTCGGGCGATAGCACACGGGCTCGCTATGCTAACGATGAATGCTCTTAAGCCTGTGATGATGCTTGATCAGTCCACGCCTCTCTCCTTCCAGCTAAGCTAAGCTAGTGGTCCTAATGAGTGCGATAATGCGGATCATTCCTCATGTTTGCAGCTCTCAGTTCCTTGTCAAGTGTGGAAACACACGAGTGGACAGTCAAGCACGCGCTGGTTGAGTTAGTCGGTCAGTCATATGTGGTGGTCAGTCAGGTGTCAGTCAGTTTCTTATTAAACGCCCCGACCTACTTTAAACCCTGGCTGCCATGCAGCTCTTTCAGGTTCTCTCTCTGTGAGGACTTTGCTACTTGCGCTCCACTACTGTTATCTTATCGTAAAGGTGTGTGCTGTATTGTAGACCTGCTGCAAATACCCCTTTTACTACGAATGTCTCTTGTTTTGCCTTGAAGTTTTGTCCTTTTAGTAGCCCTGGTGCAACGCACATTTCCCCGTCATGTGGGTAACAGAGGGCATTATCTGTCATCAGTAGTAGATGTGTGGCTTTTAATAGTAGCATGTGTATGCGCACTGAGCTGTCATTTAAAGAACTGGGAGGAGGCCTCATGGCAGGGAACATGTGTTCCAGACTTATTTAAAGAGCACATGAATTGGACATTTGAATTTTATTATTAATCCTAAATCTGTTAACTAGTACACTTAACTGGATACATGTATGTCTAAAAAATGTGATTTAATGGGAAAGTCAATTTCAGAATCATTCAAACTCTTGTACTACACAGTGCCTTCACAATCCGTTTGATGCGGCTGACATTGTGATTCGTAAACAGCAATGAGCTATGGGATGCCAGAATTGTTTAATTTATTTTAATTTGAGTTTCTTTCTCAATGGAATTGTGTTCTGGGTTAATTAGAGTTTTGGTTGAGGCCCAAAATCTTTATGGTGAACAATAGTTTCTGAAAATCTGTTCTGTGTTGATTTGGAGTTTTCCAAAATGCTATTCTCTTGAATCGACTGTGAGCTTAGATTTTGACTGCAGTTACAAACAGTTGTAATTTGCTTGCATTCAATTCCTTACAAGCACCACTTGATTCTCAAATAATCATTTATAAAGTTAGGAAAGCTTTAAACATATTACAGGATTCTTTATTGAGCTGTTTTTATATTAATTTTGTTATTTTTAAAGGTCTCATAAAATCAAAATAGTATTAACTTATTAATATACTTTTTTAGATGTTAGTTTCAATCTGTTATATGGATATCTCATTACCTCCGCCTAAATTAGAGGTGGCTAAACTTTTTCTTATGAAAGGCCAGAAACCAAACTTGATTAAGGGTGGTGTGCTAAAGGTATTACATTAAATTTGCCAAGGTAATTTCTTAATTTATTACTATATATTTAAAAAAATTGTATAATTAATAATTATAATTTTTATAATTGTATAATATTTTAAAATTTTACAATGAACTTCTTGCTAAACAAACAATCTTATTTATACAACAACGGAGTTTTATGCATTGTCTTCTATCTGTCAAGTAACAGCATTTATATTTTAACATTTTTACAAAATCTGATTCATTTAATTGAAACATTTAATTTCAGTCTGCTTTTTTTTTTTGTAGTTCAACAACTAAATACACAAACAAATGTTTATGTGAAATTAGAACTGACGGTCTCTGTTGAAGGCATTTGCCTTAACCTTTACCATCATTTCCCAACCTCTTCTCAGATGGGACGGCAGGCCAAATCAAAGGATACCATGGGCCAACTTTGCCCTAGTTTAGACATCTCTGGCCTAAATGGATCAATGGTTTTATTCATGATACTTCATACTTTAGTCTCTTATTAAATCTTCTGACCAATCAATTGCTCTTTAGGATCTGACATGCCCCGCCCCTTTAAGACATTTCTCTTTTGCTTTTCATTTGATGCGCTTGATGTCAACCTCTCTCACTGTCAGCTGTGATAAAACAAAACGCTATTGGCTAGTCTATGTCCCACCCTCTTTTTAGTATTCAGTTGAGATTACATCAAACATCAAATCGATTCAAGTGAGAATAGCAATACATTTTGAGAATCTCAGAATCAAGATTTTTCTTCACAGCTCTAGTGATGTCAGGACGTTAAGGTGTCTAATAGGCCAGCTCTGGAATCTGGATTTTCTTGATGGTATAGACCATTTTATTGTGCTTATGTCATTGACCCATGAACATTTCCTGTTTGTTATCAAACTATTTCATAACTGTAATGAGGCAGTTCAATCATAACTTAATGTTAAAACAGTTTTCATAACATTATATTTATTAATATGTAGCTTATTGGAAGCTGTAGAAATTAAAATTGTAAAACAGGAAATACCTTGGGACCATTGTTATTGTTTGCACCCCTTAAAATAGTCTATACTAGTGTGTCCTGTTCCACTAAGCTGGCTGATGATCTCCGCTTCAGTGCAGATAGTGAGGAGCTGTCTGGTCTGTGTTTCATTCCAGTTTGCAGACGTTTTTTTTTTCTGTTGTTGATGCTGATATTTATCTAAATCCCCTGAGGCCTGTTGCACAAAACAAGTTGAAGAAACTCTGGGTTGTAGAGTAAATTTCTGGTCGTCAAAAAATATGAACCTATTGCTCACTTTTTAAAATGTCTAATCATCTTGTTTAATCCCGCCCCTTTTCGCAGTGCCGTATGACAGAATTTTGCAGACATATGCATATGTAATGTTGAGCATGATTTTATATGCATATTTTATGCATGATTCACACTTTTACAGAATCATCATGAGATATTGAAGTAATCTAGTGAAATTTTATTTATATTACAGTAAAACAGAATATCGCAATATTCGATTTTTTCGATTATATAACATTATATATATTTTAGATATACATTTTCAAATGTAAATGCTAATTTAAGGCATTAGTAATATTACAATTCAAAAGTATTTCATTTTATAATATCAATAATTATAATTCATATAATATAAACAAATTATTAGATGCAAAAAGTGATTTAAAAATGCTAAAAATTATTTAAACATTTCTGGTAATACAAAAGACTTTTATTTTGGAGCAAAAGAAACACTGAAAGTGAATTTGTTGCATCAGGTATATGCAAATTTACTCGCAGCTCTCTGGTCCAGTTTGGTTTTGCAGTCTAGCCGACAGCTAGCTCTCTGCAGCTCTCACATGGTTACCCGCTGAAGCTAAGCAGGGCTGCGCCCGGTCAGTACCAGGATGGGAAACCACATGGGAAAACTAGGTTGCTGCCCGGAGTAGTGTTGGTGAGACCAGAAAGAGGAGCTCAACCTGCAGATTGTGTGGTTCCTAACGCAGAGTATATTGATGGACTCTATTCTGCTCAGTGAGTGCCGTCTCTCAGATGAGACGTTAAACCAAGGTTGTTAAAAATCCAAGAATGTCCTTCGAAAAAGCGTAGGAGATTAACTCTGGCATTCTGGCCAAATTTACCAACTATCCATCATTTCTAACCATCCCCATATTATAATTGGCTTCATCACTCTGTCTCCTCTCCATCAATCAGCTGGTGTGCGGTCCGGCGCAATATAGCTGCCGTCGTGTCGTCCAGGTGGATGCAGCACACTGGTGGTGGAGGACCCGCCCCCCACCCCCTCAAATGTGTAAAGCGCTTTGAGTGTCGAGAAACTCGCTTTATAACATATTACCATGGCAATGAAACCTGATAAAAAAAACAACCTGCCGTCTTGAGCCTAAAAAACTCAATTTGCTTCGAGTAAACATGAAATTACCTGGTTAAAACCTCAAATTGGCTTTTTGCAAAAGGCTTCATCTCAAAGAGTTGTTTGATAACTGCATGATAACTCCCAGCAAGGTCCCCATGTCTTCTGGAAAACGTGTGACTGACAAATAGACGTTCTTCAGTACAGAGCTTTCAAACATGATGAAGCAAGAATATGGTGTTGTTACCAGTACAAAGCAAACTTCTTTAGCCATTATAAGTTACTGTTGTTTCAGAAAGTTTTGTCAAATTTTGTCTTCTTAATAGCGGCATGTATGTTGTTAAAGAACTGATAATCCCTCAGAAAGCAATGTGTAGTCTGACCTTACAAAAACAAAAAAAAACAACAACATAAGCAATAAAAGTGAGGCCAAAACTTTTTAATCATTCTGCCTGGTGGCTGGATCAAGTAAAGTGAATAAATCCTGTGACCGTTTTCTACAGTGGAAGGAAGTGAAGATGCGTCATCCATCTTTTTTTCAGTCTATCAATGGTGGAAGCGCAAGCAATAAGTTTTTAGCTACAATTAACTTAACAGCCACTCTAATATTAATAATTATAGCACCGCAAATTGAATAAACACAAATTGAGTTACCTTTTATTGTTTTTTGCAAGTTTAAGTGGATTGAACATAAAACAATTAAGTGTTCCCAAAAAAAAAAAAAACGAAATTGTGTTGATTCGGCTCACTTTAAAGGGTGCAGTAGGTGATCTGCCAAAATGCTAATCGGATAATATTTTAGCTTTGGACGGCAGGGAGGGACTGTGTTTTAAAGCCACGCCTCTTGAAATCATGAGCACGCCCACCGTGACACAACAGCAGACAACCCAGTTCATTCGCCAGTTAGAGGCGTATGTAGTGGTTGGCCGGGCGGCGTGCAGGAATTTCACTTATTACTAAGCCACACTTACATGCTGTTTCAGACTGAATATTCAGTGTAGCTGTAAACAATTTCGGGAGTGCGTCACAGGCTGTCATTGTTCAGAAATGACCCAATGTGAATATAAAAGCAACTTCAGCTCAGCAAGCAGGCTAAGCGGAATAGCAATATAGTGATGATTTGT